AAAAATGAGAAGCTAAACGCAAAAAGTATTTTAAAAAAGAAGCTCTATTACTGAGTGTACATAAAAACCGGAAAAAGATACACCTAATCCTGGAAAATTGAATGCCCATAACGCAGAATTTCGTATGTTTACTTCTTGTAATTACTATGGCTGAATGTTGATTTTCGTAAGGCTTCTGGCATATTTTACTCTGGTTCAAGATGCTGACAAAATCACTTGCTTACCGGTCGGACATTGTTGCCACTTATCGTAATATCGACGCTCTTTCATAATTAGCGTACAAGAATCAATACGCATTACTCTATACTGCATCATGCAGCATATTTAACAATCTTGGGTACTAGTCTGATTCGTAAGCACTGTTAATTATCACTTACTTACTTGCTTCTATTTTCTTCCTGCGTGCGGTGACGTTGCAACTGTCTTGTCAAGAGTGTTATCGCACTGATCGTACCGGGAGCAAAGCACCGAGAAAAATTAGATTCGCACGAGATACGGCACTTATAAATGTTGAGTGTCGCATAAATCACCCCTCTCCCCGCAAAAAAAAAAAAACAAAGGTTGCTGCTATTTCTGCAGAGTTACCTCAGCCTATCTGCACTTTTCATCAACTCTTCTACACAGTTGTAGGTATCATTCGTTCGAGATTTCACTTGACTCTGCAGTACGAACTAAACCCTCCCGCCATGATCGCAGTGGTCCAATTCGGGCAATGATTAAAAATGTTCTCTGTCGACTGTCGTTCCATCGCTCGTTGTAGGATCGTTCCTTTGGCCGCGCTGTATGTAATAAGAGATAAGAGACGAAGAAATGGCCCCTGCATGTCTCACACAGCAATAATTTCATCAGAGCGAGCCGTACGAGTGACTTATTTATGAGCACATATCGGACACGGCCAGAGACGGCCGTGCCGATCTACCTTTCGTCGACGCTCGGTTCTCCACTGTTGCCGGGGCTCCAATCCGAGTGAGAGCTTACCTTTCCTTACCTGTCGGCGCAGTGTTGAGTTACCGTCTCGTCAGCGTCTTGAGCAAAGAGTACGGAGATGAGTCGTTCGTCTGCTTATTTGCGCGTTGCAGCGGAGTAATGATGTCCAAGGAACATCGATCCCTACTTTATCCTGTTCGTGTTTCACGGTGGCTCGCTATAGAGCAACAGACAGGGCTTGTCAACACATTTGCTGAGTAAAGAGTGCGTTCTCGGCAGAAAGAGCGCTGACTCTCAGTTCTGCCCTAAACCTGTATAGCGCGAGCTCTTAATCCTGTTAAGATGGGTTTGAAACTGTATTTATGCTCCCTCTTTTTTTTTTTAGATCTCCCAATATTACAGAGTAATCGCGTTCTTGATGCATTAGGATGCCGTCGCCGAACGTTGCTCTAATTGTACGGGTTCGTATAATTGGCGTTAGTCGCCAACTGCAAGACGGGACGTGAAATGGAGAAAGTTTCGAGTGGTTGTCATCCGTCACTGTAGGTTTCCTGTTGTCATGACCGGAAAAGTGCTCAAAACAGCGATGAGTTGGTCCAGTTGGCGACCTGTTTATGGTTCCCTTTCGCGCTGTGTATACTAACAAACGAGAACAGGACAGAGGCGCGATGACAACCGATGGATCCAATTACATTGTCCAGGTACATGCATGCGATCTGCATCTAGTGGATTTCCATCAATGAGCGATAACCGATTCGCGTGTGGAATATATATACGCGTTAGGAGTACGGACCAACCTAAGAATTGATTACGCGTACCTGATTAATGAGAATTAACATACAATAATGTCAGTGAAAGTATAGGGGATGTTATTAGAAGTAAGTGTATACGTAAATTTGAAGAAAGAAAAGTGGACGGAGAGATAACTTGCCTTGGGCAGGGACCGAACCGGCGAGCTTCGAATAACGCGTTCGATGCTCTACCAATTTAACTACCACGGCGGCTATCCCTCCGTTCTCTGAAGCCTCAGTCAGCACCCACGTACCTGAGGCATCTTCTAGTCTAAAAAAAATTGGCTCTGTATCTGCATGTTTCACTGCAAATGTCGAAAGACATTTGCAGTGAAACATGCGTCTGAAGAGAGTGAACTTGCGTCTGAAGAGAGGGAACAAAACGTTTATTTCATGTTGTGCGCTAGAAAATTGGTGAATTGTATTCTGCAGTGAAAGCGCTGCGTTAGAGCGCCTAGATCAATGCAGCGGAGACGAACGAGCCAATCGAGGCACGTGAAACACGAGCGCTATCTGGCAGTTGTCTTCGAAAACGAAGAATGGCGTGCGAGTCAGTCTCGGAGGCGATAAGGTGTAGAACGCGAAGCGATGGGTAGGTGCCACAAACGTGTCGTCCTTAGCAAAGCGTTGGAGGTCACTTGCCTTCGTGTGCATATAGCGTTACAATTGTCAGCGCAGCGTGATAGATGCTACGGTCATTAGAATTACTAATGTTTTCTCTAGTGTAAAAAGACACACCACAAAATATTGACGTGTTGTTCTTGTGCATCACATGCGCGCAATAATTGATTTTTCATTGACAATCGCACAAGTAAGAACGGTGAAACTTGAGCAGTATTAGAGGGTGCTGCGGATCGGGTTGGATTTTGGCTACTTCGGGTATCGTTTCGGCGGACAAACAGACACTCGGATGGACGGATGGACGGACGGACAGACAGACAGACAGACAGACAGACAGACAGACAGACAGACAGACAGACACAGACGTTTTTGCTTTGAAGTACACCAAGAAAGACTATCGTCTGTAAAAGAACACAGACAACCGCTGAGACGGAGGTCGTGTTACCCGTTGCGACGGGGGAGCAGCGCATGACCAGACTTGCGAGGCGGCCTGGATCTCGCAAACAAGATGAGGCTACAACACATCGGGTCCCTTTATCTTTCACTATTTCTTGTCCTATGGAGGCAGCAATAAGACGTCCGCACCTGCTCACCCCCGTGTGGTCGTTTAACGACGTCCTCGCACGCCGAGCCATAGTTCTCTTTAATTTAAAGCCAGTTCACTCAACGATGCTTCGGCGGCGCACGCGCGTCCATCCTTGCGCAAGGAGCGGCATACGCAGCCGACAGTCGTTTCGTCATGCTCTCGCCTATACGCTGAAAAGTCGTCGGCGCTGAACCGTTCATCCATCCTCATTTCAGAGCGCCGTTTCATCCTCTACTGAGTTCGATATCCTACTTTTCTTTCTGATCTTCTCCTCGGTCTTTGTCTGTCACATTTATCTTCGTCTTTTTTTTTTCTTTAATAAATTATATGTCTTTCAACCTCATAGGCGAGTGCTCGTTTTATTTCGAGTATGTACCATACCTCGCACGAATAATTTTCTTCAAGTATAGGACTAAAGTGTTAATCGATGGGTCTTCGTACAACAGCCCCAAAAGCAGCATCTCCTTCCCCCTCTCTGGAAGGAACTCGCTAGTCCATACTTTTCCTAATGGTATCGCGCAGTCGAATACCAGCTGCGGCAGCCGCAAAGAACATCAGATGGTCGAAATTTCCGGACGTGAAACATCTCAGTTTAATATTGTCATTATTTCCGCGTATTATTATTATTTTATCCCTTAGTCTTAGTAAAAGATTTCTTGCTTGCGCCAGAACGGCCCGGCACGCAAAGCTCCTCCAACATACAAAGTGCGGGTTATAGCAGCTTGATGTGGAATGGATGACCCATGTGATTAACCCAGTTTCGGTTTGTTTTTATTTGTTCGTTCATAAAAGATATACATGTCACCATAAATGCATACAAAACGAAATCTCCGAGCAGTAAGTCATTCGTTGTTAACCGTTTCTTATAGGCAGCATTTGCAAGCAGGCGTCTTTCTAGCCGTAGCTAAAATTTTCAATTTCGCTTGCGGATATATACGCGCACACATACAAAGACGCGCACGAACATACATAAGGTAAGGTTGACCCCCCCCCCCCCCTTCTTAAAAAACATTTCCGGCTACGCTACTGCATAACAGCTAAAGTCATCAGACAGTACGTAAATGGTGATTCTTTTCATAAAGATTTTGTGGACAATTCGGTTCGTTGTACAGAGAAGGAGCAACAGCGTAAACACGCCGCCACAAGTGTGTGCGTGTCGTCTTTCTTATGGGTGTGCGTTTGCGCTGGTACTCTCGTTCGCTGATTCTTTTAGAACCGACCTATCTCACTGGGTTGCAGTTTTGCTGCAAAAGTAACCAATTTTAATGCAGCTTTCGGCAAAACGTTCAGGAAGGATAAAAATTGTATGGCCTCTTTCCCTATTTATTTAGAATTGTTTAATGTTCAATGCCTGAAAAAAATAATAAACAGCTCTTCTCATTTTTCCCGCAAACCGAAATAAAATAGCACCATTCGAAGAAAACTACAGCCCGATAAAATCGGTCAGCACCACAACTTTTGCGTACCTACGCTCGCAACAACGCTAATGCAGGCTGCTGCGTGCGACGTGAATAGTTCACACTCAAGCGTAGAGTAAGGGGTTATTCAGGAAAATAAAAAAAAAGAATGCACCTAATTTCTGCCTGCCGAATCGCAGAGTGCGAGGAGCGCATATTGCCTATGGAACTGCACGCTTTACGAGCACGCAGGGGCGGCGTTAATAGTGGCGTCGCTACGTTCATGCCATCTTGGACTCTAGAGCGCTGCGAAACGACCCAGCGGTAGTAATGCTATAGAGAGAAGTATAGATAGAATAAAGACATGGCAATGCCATGCGGCAACACGGCCTCCTGGATTCGGGCAGCCAGTGGCGGCAGTGTGGCGTTTTGTGTTAGTGCTCCCAGATGGCGCGACATTTTGCAGAAGCTTACATATTCGGCCAAGGGATAAGGTTTCAGCCCAAAGTTTCGCAGGCGACGCGATAACTCTGCCTTAATATTACAAAACTTAAAAATGTTTTTTTTTTTAATTTCCAAGTTTGTATACTTTAGGTTTACATTATTGTTTTAGTGTATTTATGGTATCTGTTTTTTATTTCATGTTGTGTCTTCTAAGCACGATTTCGGCCTAGCCAATCCGATATTTTAGCTGTCCTGTGGAGGAGCTGAAGGTGAAAAGAGGGACGTTGTTTCACAAGCGGGTTGGTTAGTCTGCGTGCTTTGGGAAAGCAAAATATGGTACATCCTCCTCTTTACCCTATCGGCCCCAGGCTGATCCAGCTCTGCAAAATCTGGTATGTTAGCCTGCCATTCTTTTTTTTTTTTATGGAGTCATGCTCCGAGCTAGTCATTGAGAGTACCCGGTATGCCCGGTTGGCTGCCTGCCATTCTTCATTACAAACCTGAAATGCTGCAGCCCCTGTAATTTTGCTGAGACTTACCTCGCCTGTGCAGGGCTCGGCCGGCGGCCTTGTATGGAGCAACCGGTGCCATTGGGGTTGCGTACTTCACCGATTGGAAAGCAGTACTCCAGTATGTTCCATTTTATAATGGAAAATACAAGGAAGAGTAACGGACTCATTGGTACGTATAATAAGTGATTCATTGTCCTTGGCAGATTATTACCATGCTTGCTGCTCACTACTGTCAGTAAACCGCTGGCTCCTTCAGCCTTACGTCGAACAATATTAAGCACGAAAAATTTCATTTATTCTTGAACCCTTAACCCACGCTTAAACCATTCGTCTTTGGTCGGCTAAAAGAGAGCAAAAAAAAAAAAAAAAAACGAGCTTGCACCCCTGGGTAGCCCCGCCGCGGCGGTCTAGTGGCCAAGGTACTCGGCTGCTGACCCGCAGGTCGCGGGATCGAATCCCGGCTGCGGCGGCTGCATTTTCGGTTGTAGGCCCGTGTGCTCCGACTTGGGCGCACGTTAAAAAACCCCAGGTGGTCAAAATTTCCTGAGTTCTCCTATACGGCGTCTCTCGTAATCATATGGTGGTTTAGGGACGTTAAACCCCACATATCAATCGCCCCCGAGCTACAAATTCGCTCCCCTCGACGCGACGCAACGCTACTTTGCACCCTCCAAGAATGCAAGACAGACTTCTGCCGGCAACCATGCCTCAAGTACGAAGCTGATTGTCCTGGCGCTGCTCTCGATTTACCGCACTTCTATGGGGGCACATATATATTTTTTTTTCCTTTAAAGACTTGAGTGTTCCTCCTTTGCTGTACAACCAGTATCAAACTACATTGCAAACGCAAAATCTCGCATTTCTCGGCATTTCTTGTTATTCAGTGCTGCATCCCTTATGACGCGCATGTTGGCGACTGTCCTTATAATGGCTCATGTTCTGCACTATTGTCAAGCTACCTTTGAATCTGTTCACCTCATGCGTAGTATATTTGATATACTTTACAGTTTTCCCATTACAAGGAAGTTGATTTGTCGCCGTGAAGCTTACATTTTACGTGTCACGGTATAACCATATATATGTATAACTCTTTCAGTTCATGTTGCTTGCTGCAGAGTTTCCTTTAGGTACTGTGGCTTGTTTTTCTGCACAGACGGTCATACTCTACCCCTAACAGGCAGAAAGTGACATAAAGCCATCAGTGAGGGAGTTTTTCTTTGATTGACCTTCACCAAGATGTCTTGCGTTTCATCCAACTAGCAAATCTGTTGTTACAGAAGCTGTCCTCTTTTCGCAAGCGTTGCCGACATGGGAGCCATCATTTACTGCATACGAATGGGCATCATTTAACATCAAAGAATGGGCATCATTTAACATTGCAAAGACTGTATCTTGTACATGTGTTTTTATCGTCAGTGTTTAAGACAAAACGGTGTAACCTTATAGATCAATACATTGCCTTATATAATTTTTGCTCCCTACAACTCGCCAGAATGCCCTTGAATTACACAGACAAGGTGCCTAATATGTGCTGCTATTAAGCATTTATTGACGGTTCAAAAGACAGTAAAGTGAAAGAATGAATTGGTTTAGCTTGATAAAGTGTTCTCAGAGCTCTCTAATGTCATTAATCTTACCCTCATATTTTATTATTAGAGAAGAAAATCAAGGTCTAAGTACTCTTTTTAAATTTTGTGCTGCAACCTTTGTACGTGACATCACGAATTTCAAAGTGTATTCGTTGTATTTTGCCGACACTAGTGCAACGAAATTTCTGGAAACATGGGATGTTAAATCTCTGATCCCCATCAGCAGATATTGGGCTTCATTTTTACCAATTCGGAGCTATGTAGTAAACAGTCATAATTTATGATGTCACTGCATCTGGTGCAAGAATTTCGACGTGGCGTCGCCTCCCGCATTTTCTCACTTTCCAAACTTCTTTTTGTAGTGAGCATGGTGATTTCGGAATTGTGAAAGGATAATTTACCAATAAAAGAAAAATCGTTTTTCTCTTAAGTGTCTTTAGTGGAAAGGCACTCACAGATGAGAGATCAAGTGCACGAAATTACTTGGTAATTCAGCTTACTAGACATGTCCAGCTGCATGCATGCAATGAAAATTGAGGGCACAAACTTCAATTAAAAGAATTGTATATTTTTATGCATTGCTTATACATGTTGTGGACAGGCAGCTGATCACAGCTGCAGACATTCGTTTGCAAGTTTGTTTTCTTTTTTTTTTCTACGAATAGTGTACTTTGTGAAGTACATACCTATCTCCTTTTTTCTGCTGCAAAAGGCATTGTGGATCTCTGTACAAGTATGTTTATAAATGTCCTTACTATACTGACCTGGTAAAATATACTTTGGCTAGCCTTTCTGTTCACTTACATTTATCATTCTCTTTTGTGTGGTCAAACTTAAGCACATTTTAACAATAGCAGCGTGCTGGAAGCACAAGATGTTTGCCAGAAGACAATGTCTGGCAACTGCCTGTGCCACTGCCTATGCGATAGCGCATTTGCAAAGTCAAATATGATACAGCACGAACAAAACACGCACATGCATTCATTCGCACACCTTGGTCACACCTCTGGACATGTAGAAAAAACAGCACTGTTCAATTTCAGTGATGAGGCCTTCATTAAAATTCACTTTGCTCATTATAAATGCTGGATGATTATAATGTGAAACCATTGAAATGCAGGACTTGAACACACATTTTGATAAGACAGCAGGACCGTGATTTCTTCCAAGCCCACTCACTTTATCTACTAATTGCCAAGATGTATAGAGGATAGCACGGTTTGGTTGCATTGAATAAACTTCGAGCTACCTGACCAACAGTGAACTCCGAGTTATACCACGTTTAATGTTGGCTGTGCCTACTGATGACATGCACATAAAGCATCACAGGTGCAAAATCATCCAAGCTGCAATGAATTTGTGTTTTGCTTTTTGTCTTGAGCCAGGACCATAAAGTGCACTTCTCTAATTTTTGAAGGACTTTTTAACCTCTGTTTGAGCAATCTAGTTACATAATTGCTCATATTCGAGGTAACTGCAACCAGTATTACAAGTGGAGCTTCACGTTATTTTTGTAGTTTGATATGGTGTAGAGTAAATGCTCTAAAGAGAAAGCTTTGCCATGTTACATAGTTTGTTTGCAGCATTTCTTTTTAAGTCTCTTCTCTTTTTATCAATAACCTGCTTTGGTGCGTCACGAAGATTGGCACTGCTTGCTTTCTGAACACTTAGTAAGAAATAACACATATTCTCTGGTAAAATGAGAGCTTATGCCCTTCAATTTCTACCAGTTAAAAAAAAATATTAACTCAAAAATTGTTTAGCATGGTAATCAATGAGTCACTTGTCTCCCAAAGCTGAAGTATCACTGCAGTAGGTGAAAGACACTTCAATTTGGCATTTGGCTCTATACTCAACAATTGCCATTCTGAGGTATTTTTTATATTAAACATGAATTCATGACTGCATATTATTGGAAGTGCATTTTGATTGTAAAATTTCGCAATATTCTCTTTTTTGCAGGTTGAAGAGAAGCCATAAAGATATAATTCATTTCCAAAGCATAGGAGCAACTTAATAAAATTGACAAAATACAAATGAACTAAAAGTTTATTGTGTGCTTTTTTTATGACAAAGTGAGAATTATTTGGTGTCAGTTGTTGCAGCCACATACTTTACTGAAGACACCTTTACCAACTAAGCCAAAGATGCTGTGCACCACTGAAAAACACGAAAATGTTCAGTTTGTAACATCCATGTTCAGTATAACTTATAAAGAGACTAACTGTTCATTGGCCTAATATTGTGTATATAGATTCAATGTTCTTCAGCAAATTTCGTATCAGTTGAGCGGTAGATATATGCATACCCGCTGCTATTATCTGTTATGTCTGCAAGGGTGCTGTAGGTACGGGATAAATGGACCAAGAGAAGTTGCTAGTAGTTTGCGGAAACTGCGTTGTGGCCTGGCTGATGTCTGCGGAAACACACCGCAGTTGCGCGCAACATGTCGTTTGGCTAAACTCTAGACGCATTAATGCAAATAGCACCCGTATGAAAAGATTAGTAATGAGCTCCATAAGGTTCAACTCGATCTGAAGTCCCGCATCACTACTGCGTGCCTCTCAATATCTTGGTTTAAGCAACTAGAACCACCGGAATTCTCCCACAGAAAAGGCACATAGCTATATGCGCAGATCCCGTGTCGTCATCTGTTTCCTTCTGATTACGTAAAGCGTGAATAAAAGACACGGGAGTGAACAGAAGTTGCCAGCCAGGCCTGTTTTATTGGGCTTCAGGCACTCGACGTCTACGAAAAAGAAATGACGGTCCGGTCGGGCAGCTTTTCGTCCTGGCGAAGTCACCTGCAATTTTGAAATATGTATGTATACCTATGTTTATCCGAGACACGAAAGGTTGGTGTGCCTCTTCTGCACTCGTACACTGCGCATGACTTACGTGCTGCCAGGCGGCGATTCATGCTGTGATGAAGCATCCTGCTTTTCGGCGATCGCCTTTGCGCGCTGGTGCCGAACCATTGGATACCAGGTGTACACAGTGCAGCCCACGCCGAGAATGATCGCGACTGCAACTTGGAATTTAGATATTCCACGGGGTAACCTTATCTTAATCATTTTGCGTCTGGCTTCTGTCTAATTTAATCATAAAACTTTTGAGCCACCTAAGGACGCGTGCCTCGCCAACATGATCTTGTCGTCTGCAGCTCGCTTCACGGAAGCAGCTGTGGATTGGATTGACTGAAAAAAAGTTACATTTTTTTTTTAAGCAAGATAGTTATGACGTTTGCACCTGTGTACAAAAAAAAATAAAAATGTCTCTTTGTGAAGTATTCTGTACTTTAAATGTAGAGTTAATTATTTTTACGTAAACGACGTCAATATTAGTCATAAAACTTTAGTGTGTATTTTATCATTCATTGTAACGACAATTTTTTCGCGCAAGACAAGCCAAGCACACAGCAAGAGCCATGCAGGGAAGAGCACTTGTCGCAATTATTCGGCGTTTAGGCACTTCCCAAGCTATGCCGAAAAATAAAAGCAGCGCGAAGCCAGCAAGTAAACACGGCAAATCCGCTGAGGTGACTAGCATACTTCGCAAAATTCTCTGCGCTCACCTAGTTTATTGCTGTTTATTTTAGGATACCAAAGGAGCCGAGCAGACAACCGGCGCTGTTTACAGTACGAACACTGGAACAGTTGCAATTCGAGTACGCGCAAAGCCGGGAGCTAGTGAAAGTAGAATCACTGGTGAGTCCTCAACACTGTCTCTGTGTTTTGCCAAATTCAGCGCTGACATTGTCGCAGATGTCAGCGACGACTCTGTGGGCGTCCAGATTGCTGCACCGCCCGTTGATGGAGAAGCAAACACGGAACTAATCCGCTTTCTCTCGAAACTCCTGAATCTTCGTAAAAGTGACTTGTCGCTTGAAAAGGTTAGTCTCTTTATTGGAAGTCTGTCAGCTGTCGCTTATGCTGGTTTTTTTTCTTTTCTCTGCACAGGGCTCCCGCTCCAAAGACAAAGTTGTCTTGATCACAGCACAAGTAAACGTATCTGACGTACTTAGTTCGCTCAAAAAACAAATAGGTATCCGATATTAAACACAAATTTTCGCCGTAGTTCTGCCTTTCGTGTTGTCACTTAAGGCTACATATCCCGCTTGTGGCATTGTCAGTGTACATAAACAAATAAACATCGTAATGTATGTTGTTCAGAGGCGACGCCGTGATTTTCGACTTCCCTGGAAGTGCAAAAGGGCACTCTGTCGCTTGGAATTCCGTGCGGGTTATTATGCTTATATGGTAGGACAGGAGGGCTTTTATAAAGTCTTCCCGTTAAGAGTGCCTCCATGACATGCACGTAGTAGGTTCCAAGTGCCAACACAAGTTTTCACCTGCAGCTTAAAAAAAAAAACGCACACTTGCAGATGTCATGTGTATCATCACTTTGCACGTGCAAAAGCACATGCATTTAGTATGCTCGGGTTTGTTTTTTTAGCTACTATAAAATCTACTCCACATATTGCCTCACATACTTTGTGTGGGTTCCCCAGTATATTTAAATGTTTCAGTACAATCTTAAAGGGAGACCAAAAATTTTAGCCCGAAGCTTACAGATTGTTATTTTTCAGATTACATTTTTCATGAAGCCCTGTAATTTGTGGTCTGTTAACCTTCCTGCCTTGACCAGCTTGTGGTCAGTACATTTGCTGTATAGATTGTTAAAACACAAAAAGTGCTGCATTTATAGCTCCACTCTATAACTGGAAAAACTTGAGTGCCTCACTTTTGCAACATTGCGTAAGATCTCACTAGCTGCACTTGCAGAACCATTTGTTACCCACTCTTTCTGGAGAGCTGTGACGAACAATCCCACACATCCCACAAACGTACATACATGGAATAGGTGTGTTCATTGACTGCTGCAACACGAAATCTATGGTAAAAAGAGTGCACATGTGCAGTAAGTCTGCATGCATTGGCACACCTCTGATAACACATTTGTTAATAAGCTGTCAGTATATATATTTACTAATAATAGTATCTGATATTGTATACTTCTGTAAAACACTTCTTGAAAGGTTGGCCCTACACATAAACGGCCTGTAATGTAGTGTCGCCTGCTCAAATGTTATAGCAGAGATCCTTCATTTTGCTAGTATTATCTTTGATTTTTGTAATGAATTTGTGCTGGAATGAAATACAAATAATTAGACATTAGTTAAAAAAGGTGCCTAGCATACCAACATGCTCATTAGTTTTGGTAATGGCAGTGTTTTGCTGACACAATGAGCTAGAATATTGGTCTTTTAATCCACGGAACATAGCTTGTAAAACAATGCTGCATCAGAATAGAAACACCCAGAAATTTGATTTATTTGTCTGTTGATGCAAAGAGCACTTGTATTTCCGAACTTGTACCTAGTGTGCAGTATCACTAGGCTATGGTTAGGCACTGATCAAACCATGTACCTATGTGGTCATTTATAGTTAATGCCAAAAGCCATCACTCTAGTTGGAAAAATGGGTCATTAGAATGCTAGATCCAATTAAAGGAGCGGACATGGCAGTACGCTGCTGCATCCTGCTGTAGCTGTAACACAAAAGAAAAAGAGAAGAGAAAGTCAATGAAAAGTATAACAAGGTTACACAAGTGATATGGAAATCCTCAGGAAAAGACTCGTCCGGAGCGTCCCGACGTGTATTGATAAAAAGCGGCACAGTGTTCAAAAGGTCGACATCTGAGGAGGAGAGGCAGGAAGTCACATCCTGCGAAGGGGCCTGGCGGGCCATTCCTTTTTCCTGTTCTATGACTGGGTCTTGCTGTTAAAGCCGTCAGCCTCCAAGAAAACCCCAGTCTTTTCAAATTCACTATGGCAAGTAGCGCTACATGGTTCGTAATCCTCCTGTTGAATCTTGCAGATGCACAAACTACTTCAACTTTGTCTGCTACAGACCCTACAGATGGACCAGCATATACTCCTGTATCCCACGAGGAAGTCAATCTCAACTGTACTTTCGTCTCTCCTCTGCTGGACTGTCCGTGGTGAGCAGGCGCACGTCCCATTGTTACCACCTGTGTCCGAGAAGCTTTCGAAGGCAGCCCAAAGTGGCAGCCCCTTCTCAGGTACTTTTCTTGGCTATCAAGTCACTTGGCTCCCTTGAAAATGGCTCTATGCTTTTGGAAAATATAGAGAAACTGCAAGTTGTCAGAAGTGACATTTCTACTGTGCTGCCAGGAGCATTCGTGAAAGCAAAAGGTCTTCATGCTCTTGACTTGTCTGAGAACAAGCTGGTATCAGTTCCTAGCAGTGCTTTGCAGGACCTCTCCAGCCTGACCTCACTAAATCTGTCAAACAACCTTATCACGGAGCTCAGCACAGACGCTTTTGTGAACCTTCACAGTCTCAGAATCTTATCCCTTGAGAAAAACCGAGTGTCTTCGATCGCTGTTGGCACTTTCTACCACATGGAACATTTGGAAGACCTCAACTTGTCGCATAACAAGCTGTCGGCAATCGATTCAAAAGCATTTGGCAAAACAACACTGGAAACCTTAAGACTGAGCTCAAACCATCTCGTATCAGTTTCATTAGAAAATTCTCTCGCATCCCTCAAGCATCTTGACCTCACCCACAACAGTCTCACGAGTGCAACAACGAAACTTGATCTACCAAGCCTTATCACACTGAATGTAAGCTACAATGCCTTGGACCAGCCAAAATTTTTTTCGCTGGCTTCGTTGGAAATCTTATCAATATCTCATAACCCAATGACAATGATCTCAAAAACTTGGCTGGAGCCTCTACTGAAGCTTGAAACTCTGGACGCAAGTTGGTGCAAGCTCAAAAGAATTAACAGCCAATCTCTGTCAGGGATCGGAAGCCTAAAGCTGCTTAACCTTAGCAACAATGAAATTTCTACTGTCGACTCTACAGCATTTTTGGGACTGCACTCGCTTGCCACCCTCGACTTGTCAAACAATAATCTGACTTATATCAATCAGAACCACACTGCAGACCTGAACGAGCTGGAGTACATTGACCTGTCACAAAACAGCATAGAATACATTTTTGCCGGAGCCTTCACCCGTAGTCCCCATCTAAGAATCATTAAGCTGAATGGTAAGCCAGTTTTTATATTTCCTTCTTATTTGGATTACATTGTTTTAAAAGGTCTATTCAAGAGAGCTTAAGAGAGAAAAAGGTAATGCCTTGTAACCTGTAGCATTTCCAACTATCTGGCAGAATTATTACTGCCAAGCTACTGTCATAGGTATCGAGAGCTACAAAAGATAAAGTTAACATTTCTTAATAGGCTGCTAATAGCAACCACTTGAGATTGTGTGTGGACTGGTTGTTTTCAACTAGATAATTTTAGATTGACTTACAAGTATTAAGTTTACTACATACAACACCAACTGTGTTGTTCTGCTCATTGCCCTTGTTGATTAAGTAGGTGTTGACAGCCGTTGTTGTAGATTAAACCATGAGTTCAATTCTTGCCACAAATGGGTCACTTTTCTCATTTTATTGAGTTATATTGTCAGTTTGGTGTGCCATAATATAAGTTTTTGTCTTGGGTACTACCTATAAGAACTCTATCTGCTATGCTAAATCAGTTCTGCAGATTTCGTGCAAAGTGGGAGAACGGTTATGAAAGTGATAATCGGCATCTGTCCATTTGTAGCACAAGGCTGCAAGGAAATCTTTGGAGCATTGTGCTGCTAACGGGCAGATGTCACTCTTTTCTTTTAAAACTGTACCCTCTTGTTTATTATTTTTTCATACATTACAGCATTCGCTTGTTCTATGCATCAGTTTTCAGCATGGGGGAAAATTAAACCTTGTCATCCAATATGAGGCATCTCTAAACATCATCATGCTAGCCACTGGCTAAAAGCTCACTCGCATTTGCTTGTTTTATAATTTTTTTATCATAAACTGATAGTTTGCGTCGATTAATCCAACTTACACCCTTTATTTCTCTCTGCCGTAAAGACCAAAAAAAAGTTAGTTCCCCATTGCAATACAGTAACATATGCCCAGTCATCTCCCAAGATTTTGCGGTAAATGAAAGCTACCTGCTAGCATCGTTAACATGTATCACTTGCACAATTCAGTTTGAGAATATTCTTAAAACAGTGATTACATAATTACTTCTCTATGTTTTGTTCAATAATTACTTTATTCAGCATATTGCCTTTACGATCTAATAAAAATAAGATTATTGCTCATTTACATTTTTTTATGAATTTGTTAGCAGTATTTATATTTTTGCACCAATCAGTTGCTATATTTGTATGACATGTGCTTTGTGTTCCTTGTTTTTTATTGTTGTGCATTGCCCTTCCCCTTCTGAAATATGCAGTGTAGCCCAAGGGTAAAAGAAATAACCTGAGGGTAAAATAAATGTATCAACATATGTTACCCACTTTTATGGTAATAAATAAAACTGGCTCTCTATATGCAGTACAAATTTTAGTGCAAGAAAAATTCTACTAGCAAAAAGAAGGCAGTTAGGGCTCTCTATGTCTAATCTTTTGTGCCACTAACATTGGCAGCTGCATGCCAGTTTGCTTAGTATCATATGTACTTTGTTCAATCTAAATTACAGTGACAGGCCATCCAGTGTAACTATAAGGTCACAGTAAACAATATTTCACATCGCAGTGCCTAAGGCGTTTTGCACACTGTAAAGCATAGCCCGAGAGCAACATCACACCTTGTATATTCGTAAAACAACAGAGTATATAACAACACTAAGAAGGTCGACTGCAGAGAGTGTAGATCACAAACTTATGCTCAGACAAAGCAATATTCCTTTGCCTGTTTTTGTGTTAATTGTGATTTGAACCATGTGTAGGTCCTGGCAGTTTTTCCTTCCCCACTGCTATATGCAGTTGTGTTGCAGCTTGCAAGAGACGTGCATTTGCTGGGTATCAAGTGCACAGAGTGCTTGCAGTGTGTGTGCATGTGTCTATATGTGTGTTTTATTACTGCCCAGCCTTGTATGGATGGATACTGGATATTGTAGAGCACAGTCCTTAGCCTTTCTGTTTATCTTTGTCAGCAATCTAGTGTACCATATTTCTTAAGAAGATTAATACAATTATTAATACTAATGCATATAAGTAAACTTGTTTATCGGCGAATGACCTGTCGCCATAATGCTTATTTACTTCTTACACATGGCGGATTTGTGGTTCCATTCAATACTTAGCAATCAGTGGTACAAGTGGACATGTCACTTATTTGGTTTTCAACTCTTGCAGGAAATTTTCTTGGCTGTGTCTGTCAAGTCCAAGGCTTTGGCATGCTCCTGAAATACAGAAACTTTTCAGAAGAAACTCTGTCTTCGGCCGTATGCGACGATAGCACACGCATTATAGACTTTGATTTTGATTCACTTCAGTGCTCTACAGAGATCCGTGCCAATAACTGAAACCTTGTTTTCAACAACTAACGTACCCAAAGTCACATCACCAACAACCTCGGAGCCAAACGTCACACAACCTACAACAATGGTGCCATTTAATGGGCATCTCACGCTAGTAAACGTAGAACAATATGACGACAAACTCTCGGTCACATGGAATGCACATAGCGTTAGCGATCGTCTTGATAAACTGAGATGCCTACTGACTGTCGTCATTATTGGGGCAAAGGTGCGCACCGACTTGCCTGGTTCTTGTCCTCCGAGTTCACAAAACAGAACGTTCCACATTTTAAGACAAAGCCGGGAGTTAAGTATGAGGTATGCTTAGTAGCATTCAGAAATGAAACAGAAGTGGCTCGTAGTTGCAGCATTGTTAACACAACTGATATCAAGTCAACACCACCAGTGACAGTACCTACAACGGTTCGAGTGAATACAACAGGGTCCTGATGACAGCACTGTGGCTGTCACTCATATTGACACATCAGCGGTTACAACAGAGAAGGAAATTCAGATGCCAGTGCTGAAGACAGAAGAGGGCGAGTTCCTGCATCATCTAAGGTTTCACAGTGGCCTTTTGGCTGGACATCGGCTCATTCTTCGATGGCATTTTGTACCTCCTTTTCCAAACCAGTCAGATTGTCGTTTTAATGTGACGGTGCTCAGTAACAAGGATCTACTGACACAGACAGAGGCACCTTGTTACACTTCCGGTCAAGTCCTGGTGGCTCACATCAGTGAAGACAGTGATTATGATGTGTGCTTCAGCCAGACGGTTCTGCACATTCCTGGAGACTGTCATGAAATCGTGCCGGCAAAGCTTGCCTACAACAGCGATGTTGCAGTTGGGGTCGCTGCTACTGGGCGCCAAAGACTGACTCGTGTACCTGTGGCTCTGCTTGTCATGGTTGCTGCTTTGGCCGTAATAGCAATCCTTGCCATCGCTTTGTTTGTCCGCAGAAGACTCAGAAAGCGAGCTATAGCTCGTAGGAAGGTGGGAGAAAGTGTGTTTCATTTGCAGATGAATCGTCGCTCGGGAACCTACATGGTCCAAGACGCTGCTGAGGCACGTACCACACTCACTTCAGTCAGTGTCCCATGATGGGACGAAAATGTCACAAAGAGCGTCATCTATAGATGAACTGTGACAAACCTTGTGCCGGGAACTCATTGTGCACATTTGGTATCTATACATGGATCAAAAATATGTACATAAGTCAGCTTTGTTCATACCACAATCATATAATTATGTCATATTGAAGACTAGCATTGTAGACATTGCTAATTACCTTTTTTTTTTGTGATTTCATCGCATCTATTTTATATTATAGCATGTCAAAGCTGCAGTGAAAATAAATTGCTTGTCTTAAAACCATAAAAATCAAGTGAAGATTCACAAAAGCGTTGTGTACAGAGGTGCCATTTACTCTAACTTTTTCTTCACCCTCATTTCCTTGACAACAACTGCTTAGGCAGTCTTAATATCTGCCTGCATTGTGTTCTAGACATGCACGCCGCTGAAATTTACCATGTGTAAATAATGAACATGTAGAAGTAGTGTGAAATTTAATTTCAATTTCACTTCCACTCGAGTTGTGGGTGTACCCACATCTCAAATGGTGCTAACCCCCTTCTTATTTTGTGTTGCATGAACAAATTTCAGCAGGGAAGTCTCTAATGCACTACATTACTAGGTAAAGCTTGCGGGCTTTCTAAGCACATTGTTTCTTCAACATGATTTGTGAAGGCTAGCAACCAAAACTGGTACTGTGCTTCATACATAACATCTGATTCACTGCATACACAATATTTTATTCCAGCAGGTTCATTAGGATATGCAATGCAGAAGAAGGTAAGGAGCTTTTAATCACCACTCAGCTTTCAAGAGAGCAGTGCCAAATGCATTATGCTAGCAGGTAATCTTAGGTTCTTAAATGTGTTGTCTTCTTGTGATCTTTAAAGGCTGATCTTTTAACTATGATTACAAATACAGTTGAAATTCAATTTCATGAAACACGATTTTACAAATGTCCTGATATGATGAACAAATTCGGAATTACCCCTCAGTTTCCTATAGGCTTACTGCTTTTAAAAACTTGAAATAGCCAAACAAACTGCTCCGCTAAAACCGATTTAATGAAGCATTCCAGAAAAAAAGGTGCATATAAAATGACGTTTTTCAAACTTGTGCCATCTCGAAAGCCTAGCAATGCGCTGCCAGCATAGGAGTGGTACAATCGACGTAGTAGAGGCATTCTTGTTTTAGTTCTTACAAAACTGTAGCTGAAACTGCACTGAGTAGTATCTGTATATCTCTGTTCAAGGAATTGGGTCAGTTCCACCATATGGTGAAGGTGTGCTACTGAGGTGCAGATGGTGAGAGCTCGCATTAACTCACCTATGCACTTTCTAAGCGCGCAGGTGAGAGGTAATAACAATACACCGACCAGGTAACCATTGCGAGTCTCTGCGATACAACTTCAAGTATGAAAGGACTGAATAACCCCATTTTCGGATTTTGCACGATAATTCGGGGCCTCAATGGCTTTTTTGACAGTTAAACTGATTCACTTCAGGGCTAACACACATTTTTTGAGATTCCGTGATAGTTTTATATGTTCAAAGAAAGAAATGTTACTGTCGTAGGACGAAATGTGGCTATGTTAGATGCTGCCACAGTGGTCTAGTAGTTATGACGCTTGACTGCTGACCCAAAGGTCACAGGTGCAAATCCTGGCTGTCACTATCATATTTCGAGGGTGGTAAAATGCTGGAGCTCGTGTGCATAGCTATACATTAAAGAACCCACATACATGCGTGTTAAAAAACCTAACTTGGCCAAAATTTTTGGAGTCCTCTACTAAAGCGTCCCTCATAGGCATATCATGCATTTTGTACATTGAACTCCCAACAATTATAAAGCATGAGTTGGAAATGGTGAGCGTTTTAGTATTTTATTCATTCACACAGCTAGCGACCCTCCTATTAAAGTAAAGCAAAGCTACACTTTAAAAATCCAGGAAAGCAAAGTTTATCTACTATTCTAACCACACACGTACACAAATTCTTGTTTTGAACTCTAAAAAATTAAGTGTAGATAGCCTGAATGATTACTTTACTTTATCTTGCTCTTCTTAACCTTTTCCCAAGTGTGGAGCTTCACTCCATTCTTATCTTCTGAGTACTGTACATTGCTCACAGGTCGAAATGCGGCAATTTAGGACCATTTAATGCACATGCTTTGTCTCTACTTATTTCAGTTCATGTTTTATCAACATAATTTCAACTCAAACACTTGCATCACAGGCTACATTACCTTTTGTGGCCAGATTTGCAATGATACGACTGCTTTAATTCCCCAAGCAAGCTTCCTCCTACACTGAAAATAATCATAATCGGACAAGATTTGGAGGGTTGGCCTTTGCTCAGTCGCAGATCAAAGTTCAGTACAGTGGTGGAATAGCCTCTAAGAAGAATGCACACCTGTGCTTTTGAAAAAATGCTTTGAATATAGTGCATTTCTTGTTTTTACTGAAGTGGATGGAATCCTTGCTTGAAATATTGTGTGTTATGAATAGGGAAGGAACATGTTTTTCATATGTTTCAACAATTTTTGACAACTCCAAATGCGACCATGAGGCACCGCACTGTAATAGTTCTCAGAAATTGTATATCTACAGACTCGGAACATTGGTTCCAAAAAACCACTGCTGCAGGACTCTGGAGTGGAAAACAGGTTCAAAAAATGGCACAACAGGACCAGTGCAAGCGGTACCAACAGCTGGACTGAAAAAAAATCTAACTAGAAATGTTTGTAAGAAGATGACGAAAAGGATGAAAAAATTGCAGCCCGGGATAAGAAAAAAATTGAGCTCACGACAGCAAGATGGGTGATTGAAAGCTGTGGAGGGGTGAGGCTTCTAGAGAAAGGCTTTCTAGCTCCACTAACGTGAAACCATAGAAGCATACAGTATGTGCCAATGTTCTCCACAACGAAATTACTGATAATGAGCAATGTGAGACAGAAGGATGGCCTGACTGAGGTAATAAACCACATTGCTTTAAGAGACTTTCTTGATGAGGCACTAGCGGTTGCTCGATTTTGAACACATGCTCTGGCACTGCTCAGAATTGGCCGGTGCGGCTTTTCACGGTGAACAGTGGTGGCAGCGAATGCTGCACAGTGACGCGTTGGCGGACCAACTCAGGGCTCTCCAGAGGGCCCGTGCGGCGGCAGAGGGGCCTGGACTCTCGGTCCCGACGTGAGAGCAGCCAGCATCAGTCCTGGACCGATCCTCAGGACCTTAATAAAGTTCTTCGTACCATAGCATACTAGCGGGGCCAAGGCCAAAACTGAGCATGTCGGGAAGGGTGTTTCAGCCTCACCAGCATCATCGATTATTTTGTTGGGCAAACTGTTGCCTTCATTCTTATTGGAATGGAGGCGAGTATAGCACCACCACTTTTCAGATGTGTTTCAAAAAGTGGCGTTTCAAACAGATAACTTTACCGTAGAAATCCGTGTTTGTCTCTCTGGTTTTAGGTAAGAAACTTGAGCGCCCTGGTGAATTTCGTTGGCGATTCTGACACTGCTGCTGAAGCAAACATGATGTTTTAGGCAGTGACGACGAACCTTTCACTCATAATATACAATGTACAAGCCGGTGGCGGGTACTGGAATGTACCCAATTTTTGTGGCGCATACCCGTCTATAATGGACCGTGACGACGACATGACTCACTACGAAGCCGGGACCATAAGGTGCTTCGCCCGTAAAAAAAATTACATTGGGAGAGGGCTTGCTCGGTCACTGGCACACGTTCTAAATTCTCTCTGAAAGGGGAAGGGTGTGCTTGCTAAGTAGGTTATGATAGGTTATTACAAGCACTTGCGCATGGTAGTTAAAAAGCTCTGCTGCAGTGTTTTTATCTGCGAGCACTGTTATTGCATCCTTGGCAACTCCACATCTCCACTCCTGCTGATTGTCAGGCTACACCATATTTTTAGTGTCATCTTGAAATAGAGAATAAAATGTACTGCGACGAAACTAAACATGTCATACCACCTCTTTTCTGTACTCACTCTCTTCTCTTTGAATTGAGCAATGGATTAGGGTACCTTTGCAGACAGTTGTTTTTCGTATGGCAAGGGATAAATAGTTGCCAAGTGGCAAAATAGAAAAAGTGAACCATGTTAACACTTGTAATCCATACAAATATTAACATAGCCCACGTGAAAATTAATATTCACCTACAAGTTGTGAGACTGCAGCTGTGAGATGCATGTTTTTGAGGCCTGTGACATTGACGGTTATGTTTACATAGTTTAACAACTCAAAAAGACTCAGACTACGAGATGTACCGTAGTAGAGGCCTCCGAATAGTTTCGACCACCTGGAGTTCTTTAATGTGCACTGAAATTGCACAGTACACAGGCTTCTAACAGTTTGCCTCCACTGAAATGTGATTGCAGAGGGTGCTCCCAGCCTCTGCAATCACATGGAAGTCGTATTGAAATACCTGCATGTCTTTTCACTCTCGACACACCTGGTACGATTACAGTATACTGCATGCGTACCGTACATCGTATATGATAACATAGAGGTTTATAGGACAGTAAGCCTGGTACTGTAAACACACTAAGTATAGGATATATGTAAAGATACCAAGCTTACATCATACCGTAAATATATCTACGGTATCTTGAAGCACAGTAGGTATAAGCCTGTGTACTGTGCACTAAAACTGCACAGTACACAGGCTTCTAACAGTTTGCTCCCCTGAAATGTGATTGCAGAGGCTGGGAGCACCCTCGCATCATTTAGTTGGCTGCCAAGCACTGTAACCACTAGGCCGCCATGGGCAGTTTGTAACACTGAGTCTCTGGATTTTCTAAGATGCAACTCTACTTTTTTCATGTGACAAAAAATAATCAAGTCAAAAACAGGCGCTGTAATGGGCGTTCAGCAATGAAGAGCTGGTAAAAAAACTACTGAGTGGCATTGCTTCGCACAAAACGGCATCTCGTGACAACCTTTTGAAGCGTCCTTTTAAATTATGATGTTGCTATTGCATAAGCGTGACTTATTACTGCAGTTCAGATTTCCCCGCTAATGAGACAAAGTGAACCTGTTGAAAGTTGACGAATGAAGTTAGGGCAGTTTATTCGTCTATCTGGCTAATCACATTTTTCCAAAACAAGCTACATCGCATTATTTTGTGGAGACCCTTGTTCTCTTGTTCCAGGAGAAGTTATCACCGTAGTTCTTTCGAGGCGGTCTCTTTGGTGCGGGTTCATCGATGTAGTAATCCCATCCTAGGGGTGAAGAAAAGCTCGATTAATTGTAGTCAGTATTTTTAAATTAATATGACAGTACACTGAAAACAATGAAAGGGAGTTACCATTTTTCTCACAGAATGCCATAGCAGCTTCCTTGTTTGCAAAATCAAGGTTCATGTTGGACAAAGGATCACCTCTGCAGTGAAAGATTTTCAATATAATGATAATAATCAGCATGCTAAAATTTGAGATGAAAAATGGTACAGCCAAAGAACATGCCCTTTCAATAAGCTGTTCTGACCTGTTTGAAAAGTGTTGAACACAACTAAGAAATACTATATTAGCAAATTTATGTAGCGCGAGGCGAAAAAACGAACACAGGAAAGAATAGACTGAGAGGACAGAGCGCTCTGTCCTCTCAGTCTATTCTTTCCTGTGTTCGTTTTTTCGCCTCGTGCTACATAAATTTCTTTCAAATGTTTCACCAACAAGCCCACATCGCCACTCTTGTCTATATTAGCAGCTTATTTAGATCCTTGACTCAAAACATGTACAGTCAAACCCTTTATAGAGGACAGTGATGTAAGAGACAAATAGGTGTACAAGACACCAATGTGCCTGCATAACAAGTGTTGAAAAGAAGACATACGTGGTTTGCTGTTTACAAGAAACACCTCATATAAGGGACTATTGCTCCCCAGGGCATGTCTGTTATAAAGAGGTTCACCTGTAGTAGTACACAAAATACACACAATATATATCCGTTTTTTTTTTTTTGTTATGAGACATCGACTTTCATGTTTAAAACATCTAAGAACAGTAGAGTATTTCTACAAAGCTCTAAATAAAGTTGTCTGGATATCAAACAACACGAGAGAGCACTGATTAGCATTCAGTCAAGGGAGATACAGTAGCTAAGCAAGAGAACACTGGAACCGTGACTCACGTAGAGCACCAACCCATGAGCGGATTCTCCCAGCGTTCTCGGTTGTCAAATTCCATTTTCCATTTATGAGTGTTGTGGGTTCCGGACTGCATGGCGTTACGGGCAGGTATGAAGATGCGCACACGTCGTGTCTTTATGTGCTCTTCGGGTACACCACTGAGGCACGAGATGTCCATCTACAAACACAAGGGAAGAATCTTTTTTTTTTTGCACGACCACACCAAGTTCCTTTTACTATGGAACACGATTAAATAAACCTGTGCTTAAAGTTTGAGTTACAATGTAAAAAGAAAAAGGGCAGCTGCAGTGATAGTGCACTGAAAGCACCATGTAAATCATTACTCCAAACAAACAGCAATTGAAAAGACACTAAAGTGATAGACAAAATCGGCTTGTGCTGATGAACTGCTCTTTGAATTGGCATATTTGTATTCAAGCATTCATTGTAAAGGAAAACTAGGGTCGGGATTAGTTTTAACTTCATGTGGAAATCTTAACACTTGAATGTTGATGGACATCAGAAATTCCAATTTTTTTTTTTTATGTGCTGACCACATTTGCTCGATAAGACCTCAAAAAACTATTGAAGTATCTGGATCCTGCCAAATTCAAATCCTAATCTTTGATATTAAGGAATTACGTAATCCCTGACAGCACTTTTAAAATTATGACACCACAATGGACTTGTGAGGGAAGCTGAAGCTTGCAGCACCACCTGTCATTTCCTGTGCATTTTCTCGCTTACGAAGCATTCTCTGACACAAAAAATGTATACTATAGGTAATACGGAAGAGTAATTAAGTGATACAAGAGAAGGTTATTTTTTCTTCGGCATCCCTCTAAAGCTTTCACAAATGTCTGCCTGCAATGTTGGCTTGAGCCAGAGTTGCATGTCTCAGATTAGACCATTTTAAGTGACACATACAGCTTTATACACACTGTATTCTGTATTTTTTTGGTGAACTTATCTGCTCATGATGCTACAACTAGCATGAAGACAGATGTATATAATATGTATATATATATATATATATATATATATATATATATATATATATATATATATATATATATATATATATGGGACCTTAAATGCATAACGGTATGCCTTTATAGAATGTGTGATGAACAGAAAATGTCCTTTTAGGAATAAATACTCATCCATATCATACTAGTCACTCAAATCAATCATTACTAGCTGAACTGTTAACGTTTGTGAAACCTCAGTGTTATCAGAGTTCACAAAGTCCATCCACTACGATTTTCCTTTATCATGAACGCATCCACTAATTTTTTTTCTGACTTTCTCCTGATAAACCCACACATTACCTTTGCTTTTACTGCACATATATTCTCTACATTGACCCACCGATAGAAGTTTCAACATTACCCAGAAGGCCAGTTCAGAAAGTGAATTATACCCGTGCCACACGGGCAGAAAAAATGGCATTTACCCCTGAATGCCTTCAGATTTATTGCCATTCGCGCGGTGCCGCACGGGCGAACAAAATGGCATTCATCCGAATGCCATTCGAATGCCATTCGCCACCAACTGCCTTCGCCAGAACTCAGTTGACTGAGAAATGCCTACTCTCGATGACACAGCTCGCGAAGTGCGATTTACCTGAAAGTATATAAAACAAATCATATCGAGCTAAAAATGAAATTTCCCGTCGTTTATTTGCACTAAAGTCTTAAAAAGATGCTTTGAACGTTATACGAAGAAAATAAAGTATTGATAATAAAACGCTTGTCAATTTTAGTGTCTATTTACTCTGTGGATCTGACTAGTGTTGGCTTAGGTTCCTACGGTCGGCTGCAACGTTGTAAAACAAAGCAAGAAACTAAAACTTAGGACAGCTTAATACGCTTATTTCTACATTTGATGATTATCTGATGTGTATGAAGCTTGTAAATGCTTCTTAATTTTTTTTATTGCTATTCACTCAATGCTCACTTGGAAGGTGCTGTGATCGACATCATCAAGTCAAATGTCATTCGCTTTGGACGTGTAGCAGTGCCGGCGAAACGAATGTCATCCGGAAACTGAAGGCCTTCGCCACCAAATGTCATTTTCTATGCCCATGTGGCACGGGTATTACACTGTTCGTCCCACACATATCTGGCCTGCAAGGTCAACATTACTGCGATATGGATTTATTCACGGGTCTTCCTAAAAATGTCGAAGTGCATGCCGAATGTTGTGCCTTTTATGTACTTCAGTGGCGTATGATTTTACACTGTGTACCACCACTTTTTCTTGTCCTAGTTTGTATTTTTGCATGCGGCACTAAACACGGAAAACGCATTTCTCCTCTTTCTTGAGCCAAATGTATTGTCGCTAAAGGTCGGAATCATGATATGCAGCTCAATCTTACTCAAACCAAATTAACTTAACAATACTTACAACTGCTCCAACATAGATGCGAATTAACGGAAATATGCACAGTACTACAACTAATCATAACGAAACCTAAATAAGATTTAAAGTTGTGCTGACACTCAAAATTTTGGATGTGTCAAGCAGCTAGTTGAGGCTTATTATCAGTCAAAAACTGTTCAAATAAGGCACCCAAGCTAAACAATTTTACTAAATAAGAAGTAGCTGCAGATACTGTTCCTCAATGGTCACTTCGACGAAATGAGCAAATTGATCTGGCAGTGCTCGATAAACACGGCAGAGCGAACTCCAGTTGACGCTCAAGTAGTGCAAGATGCAGCACATAACGAAAATAACGGACCACATATTTACGCCGCACTATCGACCGTACCGTCACTTAAAAACCTCTATGTACAGCTACCCATTTGTTTTTTTTGGTAGTTTTTTTTTTACCTGAACGTGCGAGCGTCGACCATTCTGTCGATCACAGCGGCGAAATCAAGGAGCATGTTAGCGATGAACATTCCTGTGCAGATGTCTCCTGCTAGACTGTTCCGGGAACCGGGCACCCGGAACGGGCATTTAGACTCGGCGGTTGATGCTCGCACGTTCAGGTTCAAAGAAAAAAAAAAAAAACATGGGCAGCTGTACGTGTTGCGGAAAATTCGGTTGAACTTGTCAGCCCAGTAAGTCAACCGGGCGCCCTTATCTTGAAACGACGTTTGTTAAGCGCAGCTTACTGGCGTGTCAATAGTGATGGTTTCGGCAAGCTGTTTCTTTTTCTCGATTTCAGCAGGATCCTTCAGAACAACGTCAGCATCCTCTGGTACGTAGTCCGTGACATGGGTTGAATCGGACGACGCCAGCCGGGAACCAAGGGTCCGGGGTAAGCTATTCAGGGCCAAGAAGAAAGGGAACAACTTCATAAAACTGAAGCGCCTCTGATAGTCAATAAACCGATAGATTTTTTTTTTCGTTTTACAACGAGAACTTGGTTATAAACATAAGTTTTACGACAACGTGATCACGGAAAACTGAATAACCTTCAGAAACTGCAACCACAACATTGGTCATTTTTGGAGCGTGAGCGAACTTCATATATTCATTGATACATCGAGGAACACCAATGTGCGCGTTCCTACCTTTTCGCACAGTTGCTCAGCCATAAATGAGAGAACCTAGTGAGAAAGAACCGAGCAGAAAGCATACTGATCCCCCGAACGGTTGTTTAGAAACCAAAATTTACAGAAGTGTCTGGATATAGATCGGATTGGCTCAATTAAAACCATTTTTTTTTTTTTCGCACAACTAATATACAGAAAGCAAGAAATTGTAAATAACTAACTTAAGATTGTTGTTTTTAAAATATAATAGTCGCGTAACACTCTTATTGTTTTGATAAAGTACATTGTTGCGAAGCAATTTTTGCACATCATCATCACAGTGATTTGCTAAGTTTTCGCGGGATTTTTCGGGCCCGGTAAGTTGGTAGGCGTCGGTCTGGTTTGCATGTTGTGTGGGTTCTTGCGGCAGCGCATCGCAGGATTTTGTTGTCAACGCTAATGAAAAGGTAACTATGCCCATCTTGAATGTTTGAGCGTGACTGACAGTGCAGACTCGAGTTTCGACAATGCTCTCCACACGGTAGAAACATTTCATTGCGTACACAAGTTTGTACGCTTTGTCATTCCTTTTTCTCATTGTATGCTGAGCACTTAACGTCGAGTGGACATGATGCGCTCGCAGCAATCGGGAGGTCCGTTGACTTTTGTTTGGACCGGCTTTACCAAGGCTTTTGTTTGGACCAGTACCAAGGCTTTAGACCGCGTGCTCTGCCATGCGGTGCAGCGTTTGAACGATTGTGCGCGTACAACTGCTACATTTTGACTCGATGTTGGTTACCATGTGCGTTCTTTCTCGGCATAGCCGCCGTCGCCGATCGCTTGGGTTTTGTAAATGGTAAATTTTAGCATTTAAGCGCGAACAAGCGAGCGACAGACAATGCCTGGTGCTCGTTTTTACGGCTATTCTTCTTATAGAATGTGCGTGAATGCTCATGACGTACTTAAGCTTGAAAAAAACGTGTCCCAGAAAGAAAGTGCCTATTCATTTGTGGATTCATATCGTGCTCGCGCAAATATAGGGTTTGCCTTGTATTTATGAGGATTAGCGGACGTGCTGTTCAGAAAGACCCCCTTTGTAGGGAGAATTTAGAGCAATAGGTCTAGCGAGCAAGCAGTACCTGTATTTAGTCTTATTGCATAATTGCCGGGTTTCTGGCTCACTAAAGCGCAAAAAAAAATGTATGGGAGGCACACAAATGACAACGAATGCTTGTGTTTGTGTCGTTTGTATTCTTTCATTCCGTTGTGTGCTTTTTATGCCGTAGTGTGCCAGAATTATGTGCCACTAGCCCGATTCACCGCTTCGATCATGCTGTATTTTCTATACGCGCATGAGTTTGCTTTAATCAAATTACATTACTGAATGCAGCCATAGTCACTTTTTTGCGTGTGTGGGATGTTCATGTGTACTGTGTTAATCAATTTAATGCTTTATTGCTCTTTAAATATCAAACTTCAGTGCTTGTTACCTGTCCATGTTTTTGTTTGATTCAGTTCAGTGTAATAAGTAGTTCTGTGGTTCCTTCAGGGCTCGTTATAGTATTCATAAAATTCATGTGCACCTGTAGCGGACACTTTCAAAATCGCACTTGATGCTGTGTTAGGTCTTAGCACAACGGAAAGTATTGTACAAATCGGAAAAACTGTGAAGAAGTCGAAGCATAAGGATTAATAGCGCTTTAGCTGTGGTAATGCACATGCTACCGCTGTATTGAGCGGTATTTATCTTTTCCAGATGTCGTTTGCAGTAGTTCATATTCAAGAATTTAACACGGTCACCGTGGTACCATGCAAATGGATCAGAGGACAAGCATGTGCATGGCCTCCAACGAATGCTGACGTCGCTGCTCGACTGGCCAAGAAGAGTGTTGATCTGGAACCGCACTGGAAAAGATATGACGTCACTTTCATAGGCTTATACTGTACGTGAACAACTCAAGAAGGTGACCATGTGCCTTTGTTTTTCTTTATGCATTTTAATTTTATTTTTCAGCTTCCTATGAGAAAGCAAAAGGAAAGCTGAATGACTTGCTGTGCCAAAGTCCAAGCAATGAAACTGAAGCACCTCCTGCCAAACGAAAATGCCAGAGAACTTTCCAGAAAACCGTGTATTTATCAGACAGTGATGATGACTGCAATTCTCCATCAGTGCCGTCAAGAAGCATCACTTCAGAGAGTTGTAAATAATGTTTACAAGCTTTATTTGTTGAGCTCTTTCTCATTTCATGCTTTTGGATAACTGTTGAAATACATTTTTTTTATATCCTAGGTGCTGCTAAGAAGACTGCCATAGTTTATGAGAAGTCCTCACCACTTGTGAAAGAGGAGCCCTCAGGTACAGAGTGGAGGTGTTTTGATGATAGGAAAATACTTATAACATGTTTGTCCAGCAAAGGCATGAAACAATATTGGGGACATTTGCCAGCTGATTCATATGTCAAACAACGTAATGTTCTTTGTACTTTTTTTTTTTTTTGCACTCTTAAAATAAGTTAGCACTTTTTAGCAGTCCAGCTATCTGCTTGTCAACCAGCATGGCTCTTTTGATTATTAATGTCCTTGATAGTCATGTATCACCACTAGTGACTTCAAAGTATGGCATGCCTTTCAATATTACACGTGCTTTTCAGATCACTCACGAGAAGGCTCTGCAGTCCTACACATTGAAGGCAACCAGTCTTGTTTTTCTGCTAGAGGTATGTTTTCTCTTTCTTTCGCAGTAGAAACCAAGATCTATTGTGAAACTAACCTTGCCCTTGGCATTATTTAACAGGCACGTCTCTTATGAGCTGCAAGCAACTAGGTAAAAAGCGTTGCGTTACAAGTGAATGTCTTGGTAACCAAGCAAGAAAAAGAAGTTTTTATTTTGCATGCCTCGTTTTTATGTTCTACTGGGGTTACGTCATGGCATTAAGCAGTGTGCTATCCCTCAAGTTGGCGTCACGAGATGCGCTTTCTGTTGTCGGTTGACGACACGCTCGCATGACGTAGCAATAAAATGCTTATCAAACATATTGTAGTAGTTTTAGGTTCAGAAAAGAAGGGAAATAGAAGATAATAGGGACAGAGCGCTACTATGTTTAGCAAACACCATCTCACCTAAGAAGAAGTTATTCTAAAGATGTTTCTATATTAAACAATGCACCAAGCTTGCAGTGCAGTGTGTTAAGCAACCAAGGTACGCTACAACTCTCCTGGCCAAAAAATTGAGGACGCTAGAGAAAGTATCTTGCTTTCTCTATTTCATGCTCAATGTTTGTCCATAAAACATTTAACCACTACATAACTGTGTGAACCTTTTATCACTGATTAGATGCTGTGATAAGGCTTGTTTTAATGGGCTTTTTGACTAAAAGTACTTCGTAACCGCACATAGCTGTCTCAAAAGACCTTTTAGCAGGTGTCATTGTGTCTAGGTAGTTCTACACTGTAAGAAATGTTTAAATATGTTCATAATTGTAGTAATCTGAATTGAATTATTTCACACTAACTGCCAGGAGTCTAGCATAATTGCTCTTGCAAACAGTTATTCCCTGCCTGAGCTAATTGCGTGCAAGTGGTGTTCCATCACTGCTTTGTTCTATGTATCAGAGCTGAGGGACCACATCACAGTCCCACAAGCTCCAAATATTTTTCCCCTCTTTATTTGTTCTGCATTTGCGGCGGTGGCAATATATGCTCTACGGTCGGCTGATTAACCACTACTGCGTAATGGCCAGGAATGTCGTTGCAAACAGTGCATGTTCTGTTGGGCAATTGTTCGTCTGACCTGTTGGCTCTCGCATGAAATGTGGTGGACCTGGTAAGGGGCCCCTCTAGCTCCCTGTCGGTATAATATGCGAATTGATTCAAATCGCGCATTTGTGAAGGCAAATGAAGTGCTACAATTATATAAACTATTTCCTGGTACATTCGAACATAATCAATTTGGCAATTACACGCCAATGACAGCTAACTTGTTATGCTTTGGCTATGTGCTGAACTTCTTTAATAAAAAGGGTTATATTCTCCCGTTCGGAGATTTCATGGTGAGCGTCACCCAATTTCAGCTTGTTAAACTGGCAGTATTTAATGCTGCAGAGTCTTCCGAGCTGCCTGCACAGATGCAGCCTGTACTTCACCGACAGCATGATTAGTGAAGACGGCCCTGCAGGACACGAGCAATTATTACAAGATGAATTTCACATTGTCGTAGAAGGTAAACACCTAAGTTAATCTTCTTAATTCTTTAGGTTCTACTGAAAGTTATGATAGCTTCTCTCTCTTATGTCTGATGTTTTCTTTGCGAGTGTTAAATTATCCGCGGTGCAGTGCTGCTTTTTGTTATTCGAAGAAACTCAAGTGAAAGATTTGAAAGTCAGTGTATGATGTATGTTAGAAAAGTATCCAACATTTGGTGGGAAAAAAAAAACTGGGATAATTTGAGCGTTGGAAACCTAATCCCCTTCAAAGTAGTCCCCTTGGGACTCCGCAAACTTCTCCCAGCGGTGCTGCCATTGTTGGAAGCATTCTGAGAAGGCCTCTTTCGGAATGGAGTAAGCTCAGATGTCGTTGCAGCCATGATGTCATCTCTTGTCTAAAATCGCTCTCCTTTCAATCTCCTCTTGAGTTTGGGAAACAGCCAAACGTCGCAGGGGGCCATATCAGGAGAGTAAGGAGCCTGACTGAGTAAGGAAATACAGGCGCTCTGACTTTTCACCAAAAAAGTCTGAACCAACTGTGAGGAATGTGCAGGAGCATTGTCGGGATGGATACGCCAGTTTTCTGTTGACCACAAATCGAACTCTTGCGCCTGCACAGCATCACGTAGGCAACTGGTCCAAGGACATCCCTGTAGTACTCTTTGGTCATTGTTTGACCCTGTGGTGCATATTCGTGGTATACCACACCGCAGAAGTCAAAGAAAACACTCAACGTCACTTTGGCATTGCTGCGCTACTTGGCGGGCCTTCTTTCGTGACTCTAACGACTGGTATTTGGTTTCCTGGTCGTAACTGTACATCCGAGACTCATAACCAGTGATAATGGTGTTCATGAAGTTAGGATCACTACTTGTGAAATCCAGCATGTCCTGCGAGACTTAACACGAAGTCGCTTTTGCCTCACAGTAAGCAGTTTCGGCACGAATTTCGCCGCAACTCTCTTCATGGCCAAATCTTTGGTCATAATGGAATGTGGAGAAAAAGTGCTGATGCCCACCTATTCCACAATTTTATGGATAGTCACACAATGGTCCCACGTCAGCACAGCGTTTACTTCGGCAATAACCTGGTCATTCTGGCATGTTGATCAACCAGCGAAGCGTGGCTCGCTCTCCACCGTTGTGCGCCCATCTTGAAATCGGTTGTATCACTCCTTAATTCTGTGTGCGGCTCATAGCCTCATCAGCGAAAGCTGTTTTGATATTCGGAATGGTTTCCACTTGGCTGTCGCCTAGTTTCTGGCAAATTTTGATGCAGTAGCGCTGCTCCAGTTGCTCTTTCATTTTCTTTGCAATGAAAAACGAGAGCACTGCGCATTACCTCACTTAAACGCCGCGTCTCAGCGACTGACGCCGTTGGCAGGAGGGGAAAAATTTCAAAGATGCTCACGAAAGTTCAAGGTCGACTGATGCAAGCGCGCTTGTTTCAAATCCATCAGGGGCTCGCAAAAAAAATATAAGGTCGGATACTTTTGCAAGAGACCTCGTACAGTTGTTATTGTCGCCATTGTGATCTTTTTCATACATGTCACTCGGTGCTAGTAAAACGAAAGGTAACTCAAGAAGGCGTGATTTTACGTACAGCTTCCACATACCATTTAGTAATTACACTTGAGGTTAGCTAGAAACTGATAGGGGTGTGTGAATATTCATAAAATTTTGAATATTGAATTGACTTGGACTTATTCAAAATACAAAATATTTTTAAGTCAGCACTGATGATGAAATCGGTCTATGCTTAAGCGTCAAGTTTTTATGTTAATCATTGAATGACCTAAGTGCATAAATCCAAACTGTTGTGGGACTCTCGACGCTATAATCACTGTGTGAATCTGCTTTTTCTTGAAACTCTACTGTCCCTGAACAGAAAGTATCATCTAAGTACTAGTATTAAATCAGGAAATTAAAACAGCCGGGCTTTCGGTGATATATTGGAACCCGTTGTAATGTGCTCTCTCTATGTACTTTCATTTTTGCTGTAAAGAAGTGCTGTCGCTTGTTCGCAATTTAAAGTACTGCTCTGAATACTGTAGTCGCTGCTGCATTCCAACCTGCAGTTACAAATTGCTCTATTTGCTCCTGTTTAGAAGCTTAGTTCAACTTGCTTAACCGTGCTATTTTTGTCAGTTTAAAGGACCGTGGACCATTTTCGTAAGTAATTATTGGACGACTTCAGTATAGAAGTTTGTCGCCTCACAAATTGATTGTTGCTCAAAATTTCAGAAACTGTCTAGTACGAGTGATATTTGTTGGTCGCACGCATTAAAAGTACACTAAAAAAGAAAAAAAATTTTTTTATTAGTAAATTACCTCTTCACAATTCCAAAATCAATGCTCTCGCCGTGACAAGACTCAAGTTAAGCAAAAAAAAATGTGGAAAAAAGAAAATGCGGGAGGCGACACTACCTTGAAATTCCTGCATCAGATGCTGTGATGTTATGAAGTTTTAATGTTTACAAGGCCTACACAGCTTCTAATAGGTGAAAACGAAGTGCAATATCTGCTGATAGGGCCAAATACTTACCATACCAAGTTTCAGAAAATTTCATTGTGCCAATGTCGGCAAAATATAACAAATACACTTGAAAATTCGTAACATCGCACGCGGAGATTTCTAAGCAAAATTTAAAAGTGGAAATTTATCAGTGACAAAGGCCTGACAAAGGGCCCCCGCTTCTGTTGGCACTCAACATCAGCGGTACAAATGATAATACAGAATTTAGCACACAAATACATATCAAATTGAATGTCAAATAAGCAGTATACAGATCACATGATGAATAATAGATTAAAAAAAACTAGCAACATGTAGCTTAAATCAAGTTAATCCAGATAAGTTGGCAAACTCTGCATCCTGTAAGCAGCGTAAGTTACAGAAATCATTGTTTACGTGTACAACGAGCAGACTGCAGATCTTCCGTTAGTGTGGCGCAAATGGCTGTCTTCCCATGACGTCACGTTGACATGACACGTCACGAAAAATCGCCCCCTTGATACCGAAACCGAAAGTGTCCTTTTGAGGTAGTGCTATTAAAGAACACCAGGCCTGCGCGGTAGGGGCAGCACAGTCACTGAGAAAGCTGGAAGAGCAGCCTTTCAGAGCCTTTTCAAAACACTCATTTGGTAACTACTGCGAGCACACTTGCTTGGTACTTACTAGGGCATTAGTAATAAACTTTTGGGTAGTAGGCCAGCATTCGCTGTGCTATTTTTCATCATTCTTCTAAGAATCGTGGCATCAGCTTAACATTTGCTAGGAATTTTACGCCGATTGTCCATGCAGTGGCTGTAGATGAGGAATTATGGCTGAAGTGGGAATGCGCCACAGTTGATAGGGGAACAAGAACAAGCTTTTGTAATGGGTTGGAGCATTAGACACCCCACTCGTCACGCTAATCGCATTGTGCGATGACTTGTTGTTTTTTCGCTGTTCTAAAACGCTTTATAAGTCGTATTAACGAGATTGCTTTCCCGACATCAAGCCTGCCTAAGGCAAGTTTGACAACAAGCCACGAGCACCGGAGTAGCTCAGTGGTAGAATACTGGGCTGGCACCCAGCAGACCCGCGTTCGAGCCCCACTGTGCCATTGATGGTAGGTCATGCCTGCCTTAGGCATGTTTGACAAGTTACAAGCACTGGCGTAACTCAGTGGTAGAATGTTGGGTTGGCACCCAGCGGACCCGGGTTCAAGCCTCACTGTGTCATTGGTGCAAGGTTTTTTTTTTTTCTAATTTCGTGCGATGTGGTTACGGACACCAAGGGCGGCGGCTGCGGACAACATGCAACTGCGCGTGACCCAAGTTGTGATCTCGTAACAGCTTTTGCTGTAGAATATATGCGAGGCATTTCCTAGCACCACAGTACTCTTTTTAGGGTTCTCGACACTCGTGTTCTTATTGAGAGCAGCAATCCCAAAATATTTAAATTTCGTGTCAGTACTCTGCTAAGCCCCTAAACCACCTGCGATAATGTTTTAACATTTCAAATAAAAGTGCTCGTAGAGTTAAGAATGCAATCACGATGACAAACGTGACTGCGAGCCGCGTAACACCCCGCAATATCCAAGAAACAATTTCTTTTGCTCTCCGTGCTTTTCGGCATTCCCCATCCCCTCAATGCTCGCCGTGACGTCAACATGTCGTCTGCTCATTATCTACAACACCCGTTTCTCTGCTCGCAGGTACATGCATTTCCTGTTATTTCTTCTTCCACACTGAGGAGGAGCACTCGATCCCGGAAATATAAAACTCGCATATTTGGAAATATTGGCTATAATCAAACAGCTGAGAAATATTCTTGAATTTTTCATGCAAAAGTATGACTGGTGCACTCGTATATCGAACTCCCGCATAGAGAGATGTCCTCTATATCGAACACTGCAACGTATCAAAGCCTAGAAATTACACCTTTTCTAGCAAATATTGATCAATTTTCAGCCGCGTTCTGACAAGTTCTGATTCCATTTTGCGCGCAGTTGACTGGCGTTGTCTGGCGGTGTTATTCCATCGCACTAATCGAGTTCATTGCGCGGCACTTGCAAGTGCACTGCTATGTTTGATCCGCGATCTGCAGGTCATAACAGCGTGGGCATAGGGTTCTTCAAAAAGACCCTTGCAGAGGATACGAAAATGAGAATATGAAATGGCGCGGCGATCTCGTTGCAATGTTCACACTCCTTTCCTTGTTTCTCTGATCTTATGCTGCGTTTCGATTTGTTACTTCTAGACTGAGAGCTGCACGGGATGGCAGCAGTCCTCTGCGATATCCATGTTTTTTTTTGTGTTTTTTTTGCCTTTTGCATTTTCTAGCAGTGATCATCTACTTCTCCTGAAGCATTAATAGGAGGTGGCCTCATTCTGAAAGGCCAAAGACTGCACGAAAACAGAGCTTCGGATATGTAGGCATGCACACAAACAGATGCACTGCAACAAACAGTTAGACAGTCTAGAGAATGCTTGTTGGCATACTGTTACTTTCGTAGGCATCGTCACTTGAAATGTCCTGTGCTAACGTAGTTTCTAACGCAGGGGTTTGCAAAAACTGTTCTTTGCGAAAGAAAGAAGTTTTTTTGCTATCATCATCATCCAAGTAAATGTAAACAGCGGTCGGACCGATGCTTGTTGTTAAAAACATATATACCTGACTTACCAAATGAGTGGTGCTGCAATTTTCAAACTTTTGGCTTCCAAGTTAGCTCAAGGGTTAAAAAAAAATGTTGCGAATCTTCTTATTGCAGATGAGCTTTTTAAAATATCTTTGTTTTCAAGAAAGGAAAATTGCATTGAGCTCTGTGGGCGTTTGTTGGGGTGACCAGATTTTTTGTAGAGGTGAGGCGATGATTTTGTTATCGGGATGTACTACAGTAGCGGAAAAATGTTGTATTTGCACTGAAATTTTAATGTTTGAATTCGATTCGTACCCAAAGTGTTGCTATTAGCACAGTTTGGGCAAATACATTTCTATTATATTGGTGATACTATTTCAGATTCTTCAAGATGTTCTATTGCTGATGTCATCACCGTACCATGCTCACCAGCTTTGGCATCAGTTTCAGGTATTGCTATGACTTTGATATCAGCCAGTATTCATGAAAGTGACAATGCATGGTCTTTTGGTCACAAAAAGACAAAACTTCTGTTGTTGCAATGTCATTGCTATTAGCGTCACTGCTGTGAAAGTTTGTAAGAGGCTACACACAAATAACGCTGACTTTAAAACACATTTTAGTGAGCTGAAATTAGTGTGTAAATGTGTGCTCATCCTCAATAATTGTGTTACAGTTAATCCTGCTTATAACGAACCTTCATATAATGAATTTTTCTATATAGCGAAGTTCTCTATTCCCCACCGTTACTCTATTGAAGCACATGTATTTGTGACCTCTATGTAAAAAGTAACGGTGGGAGACAACAAATTTTCGCCACGGACACTTCATGAATTTTGCCATGGATTCTGTCATTTTGGCATGAGCATGCATCTTCTGCGGCTGTCCCGCCGCCGCCAAGGCACAAAGCAGCTGCAGCGCCGCACTGGTAAACTCCGAGGCGACAGCGAGTGCTCATTATTGCGTGCAGGTGTGCGCAAGGCGGGCAGGCGAGTCTGTGCCCCACGAGCCAGCATTGCCGCCACGGGCGCATGTGCAAATGTGCCCTCCCCTTCCCTCCAAACTAAAAAGTTGGCAGTGCCACGCTTTTAGTTAGTGTGACAAATGTGGGTTAGTGCTGCATATGGAGTAGCTTCACCGAACAGCATTACGCAATATCCGTGTCATTTGCTCTTCGTTTTCGACGCCGTACGTGCGTGCATGGTTTCACTACGCATGCATGGAGTGGCCCCCGATGACGTTCAGCATTGCTTACCTTGCTTTTTTTTTTATGCGAACAATTGTCATCTCGCGGGTTGAATCACGGCTGCGGCGGCTGCATTTCAGATGGAGGTAGAAATGTTGCAGGCCCGTGTGCTCAGATTCGGGTGCATGTGAAAAAACCCCAGGTGGTCGAAATTTCCGGAGCCCTCCACTACGGCGTCTCTCATAATCATATGGTGGTTTTGGGACGTTAAACCCCACATATCAATCAATCAACTATGTCATCACCGCTGAGGGGATGTCATATTAGACGCTGATGAAAACTCAAATACTACGGTGACAATAACGGATCTTCAGAGGTCTAGTTGTCATACGCTTTGCCATCTTACACCGTAGCCTTCGCGATTAGCCTATTAGCACTAGCAGCAGCATAACTATACATTCAGTGCAATACAACGAATGTGATAGCAATGAATTGTTATGTTATACGAAGTAAGGCTAGTGGCCAACTCTTTAGGATCCAATATTGCAGAACTCCTACAAAACGCTAGTGTAAGCAAGCACGACCGCTCCATTGCTCCATTGAAGCTGTCCATTGCTACTGTGGGGTCTCGATTTGGCGAGCGAGCGCCACGCCACGCTCTTGGATTGAAAGGACACAGCAGATGCGGTGGTTACAAACCATACAACACACGTATTTATTAAATAATTTAAAACGACTATATCGTCCATCGAATCGATACATCAATCGTTATCAACACGCTAGGGCATCCGTACACAACATTAAACATGCCCTCCAAGACATGACACAATAACACGACAAACACACAATAACATGACAAACACAATAACACAACAAACACAATAACACAACAAACACACAATAACATGACAGACACAATAACACACCCAAGGCGGCGTTGCCAACGCTTGACTTACCACGAGGGGCCCCGATGCGCGGCCCGCGGTGCGACGCGCCGAGGACCCACGCTAGAGACAACCGCCATGCGCAGGAGAGACTTGCTCAACTCTCGCCCGCCACCAAGGCTTGCTTTCCGCCAGGGGTCACCGCCGGCGCTATACCGTGATGATGATAGTAGTGCTCAACGCGAACACAACACCCTCTATTGCCCGGTGGTTGTAACTCGAATTGCGGCTTTTGGGCGAGACATGTGCGCCACACAGCGCAAACAACTTTACAGAAGGTATCAGCACCCCCACACTCCTCCAACCTTAATTCAAACCATATCCCAAAAACAAAGAGATCAGTTACACAAGTACTAACAAACAAAAATCACAACACATGTCCATAATGTCCGTGCACCACGACAGTGCCGCCGGTTGACACTGCTGCACTGTCCGGCTCGACTTCACCTCAGTACCGGTCCCGCAATAGCAACGTTGCCGTCGGCGCCACGAACCATCACTAGCACCAACACGTCTTCCGTTTGCGACCAGCACTCACGAGGGCACCGGACTGCAGGCAGTTGCCCAGGTCCCAGGCATGCCCATCGCCCGACCTTTCGACTGTGTTCCTGGCCAGCGGCGCTGACGATGTGCAGGAGACAGCCAGCCGTAGATTACATCTCTCCCGCTGCGTACATTCCAAACACTCGAAAGAAACAAGGCAGCAGGGCCTAGGGAAGGGAGCTTAGGGCTTTTTGCCCACGTGGTACGATGGCCAGTACCGCTAACTAATACATCAGCGGGGGCCGAGACGGCCAGCTAAAAAATAATCACTTTTTCCTAATTCGTGCATCGCAAGATAAAAAAAAAGTGAGGGAAGCAGAGTGCAACACCTCAACGCCACGGCCTTTCTGGTTGTGCCATGTGCAACAGGTACCTGCACAGAGCCTTAGGCCTAATAAGTCACTTGGCAACGACCAACATTCACCCAGCACCTAGCCTAGGGGTAGAAGAGGCAGCCGTGAAGAGACATCCACTCCGTGAGGTGGCCCTATCGCTCGCCGCACACAGCAGCTTACTGAGCGATCAGCGTCCACCTCCCCGGGCGGTGTCACGACACCCCGGCAACGAGCTGCAATACAAGACAGCAACGACGCCCGGCTCCCTGAGCCCGAAAGAGATAGAAGAAGCTATTTACAGAAAATTGGACCAGCCACGAACCTTCCGTACTCACTGACTTCGGGCTTGGCCTACAAACCACGTGCTCTAGGCCTTGGTCATCCCAGGATGCAGACCACATGGCTCTCGAACCAACTGAACGTTCTTGAAAACCACCCACAACTTTGTAAGAAAAAGAACGCTTGCGAGCGAAAAAATAAAAACCCGAGTGCCGACAAGTTCAAACACATCACAAATCCAATCTCCTAGCTTCTCAACGAAGCACACCGCCAACGCCTGAAATGAGAAGTCCTCTAGGCCTACTCTACCCCGGCTCTAACAAAGCTGCACTGAACCGCAAAAATTGTCGTTCGATACTCCAAGAGCCCCACGTTGGGCACCAGTGTGGTGTCTCGATTTGGCGAGCGAGCGCCACACCATGCTCTTGGAGTGAAAGGACACAGCAGACGCGGTCGGTACAAACCAAACAGCAACACACGTATTTATTAACTAATTTAAAACGACGATATCGTCCCCCGAATCGATACATCAATCGTTATCAACACGCTAGGGCATCCGTACACAACATTAAACATACCCTCCAAGACATGACACACAATAACACGACAAGCACACAATAGCATGACACAATAACACACCCAAGGCGGCGGCACCAACGCTTGACTTACCACGAGGGGCTCCGATGCACGGCCCGCCATGCCACGCGCAGAAGAGACTCGCTCAACTCTCGCCCGCCACCAAGGCTTGCTTTCCGCCAGGGGTCACTGCTGGCGCTACGCCATGATGTTGATAGTAGTTCTCAACGCGAACACAACGCCCTCTATCGCCCGGTGGCTGTAACTCGAAATGCGGCTTTTGGGCGAGACACGTGCGCCACGCGGCACAAACAACTTTACAGGATGTATCAGCACCCCCACATTACTCAACCGACCCCCACGTTTTTCATGCTTGTTCAAGATGGGTGGTTTTTCTTTCTGTTTGAGCATTTGATGGAAGTCCTAAAGCGTGGGAGGATAAATCGTACGCGCATTCCTGGTGATAGAGATAGGCCGGCTCATTTTATCTCTAGTTCAGCAGCGCTCTCGCGCATTTACTTCAGGTCGTAAAGGTTATGATGCGCAGGAGCATATTCTCAATTTGGACTTGTTACAGAACATGGCAGCAACGACGAAACCAGCCAGGGGTGTCCACATAATCATTATCGCAATAAGTAATCCCTCTTCAACTCAGTGCCATCAAATACGGGGGAGATTTCGACATAAGCGGTATTTCGAGTTAAGCAAAACATCGAAAATCTTTGCCCAGGTCACTGCAAAAGAAAAGCCAGTGTTGTAGAGAAAAGCACCACTGCACGAGAGAGCTACTGTGGTAAATGCACAAGGATTCGCAGGGAAAAGGAACTTATTAGGAGGATAAAAAAACTGCGTGATTCTCTCCTGTTTCGCAATCACGTTCGGTCCGAGAAAGGCGTTTTCCAGTTACTCAACTCATCGCATGAGCTGTTGGTCGCCACCGCTGCATTCGACCTTGTTGCGAAGCAAGCGCAGCATGTTAAGCGTTTCTGTTGTCGTAGGCACTTCTTGGAGCTCTTCCTCTTCTGCGTCGTCATCTGCATTGTTTACAGCCATCTCAACGATATCTGCGTCCGACAGCATACCGGTAATGGAGACGTCCCCCTCATAGAGCGCGTACTCCTCAAAGGCAATTTCTCCGTCTTCAGTATCGCTCACGCAGCCGGTTGCTTTGCGCACTGCACTGCACAGCTCATCACAGCCGCTGAATTCCACGCCAATGTCTCTTTCGATCGATGCCGGGGTGCGAAAAAGCCTGCATGAGCAAAGCAGTTGGCAATCACCAGCTGGCGTAGTTGGCGCCAGGCTTCGTCCATCAGATTGACGGCACCCAGCAGATCGATCTCGTACTTTCTATTGTCGTATAACAGCATAATAGCGTACAGCAGGCTTTTCCTATAACATTTTCAGGCCATCTCAATGACTTCCCTGATCAATAGATTGGAGAACGGAAGTCGTATTTGGCAGCAGGAACTGCAGCGTAACAGCCGCCAAGTTGTCAATTTTTTCCGTGACCGGGGCAGTTATCAACGACAAACAGCTCTTTCCGACCGTCCTTGGCCATGTTCCAGTCAAGTGCACGAACATACTCTTCGAAAAGCGCCGCCGTCATCCCGGCCGTTTTATTTGCGCGGTAGATCACATTCCTTGGGAGCCGTGCATTTAGAAAACACCAGGGATTCGGCAACTTGCCAATGATGAGGAAGGCAGCTTTTCATCGCCAGTAGCGTTGGCACCAAAAAGAATGGTAAATCTGTCTTTGTGTTGCTTTGCGCCTGAGCAAGCTTCGCCTTTTGGTGTGTAAGTGCGGTTAGGTAACATCTTATAAAAGAGAACAGCTTCTTCGAGGTTAAAAATGTCCTTGTCCGGGTGCTGGATTCGCATGCGCGGCGAGGCGTAGGTTGCGCCATGCATATGCAGCCTGTTCGTCCACAATGCCGCTTTCGCCGTGAATAGGCTTCGATGACGCGTTGTTTCTCTTCTTGAACCTCTCGAACCAGCCATCGCTGCAGCTGAAGTCCACGTGACCCATCTGCAGTGCCAAAGCATCTGCTTTTTCCATTATCACTTGGGTTGTCACTGGAGCCACAACAAAAGTGCTGCTACGGCGTCCGGCAATTCGGAAGCTCGAACCTGCTTCTGCTTGCTCGAGAAGCTTTGCTCGAAGCCTTCCAAAACCGTTTGCTTGTTCTTAAGCACTGCCGAGAGGGTTAACTAAGAGATGCCGAATTCTTTGGCGATGCCGAATTCTTGGCGATGCACGACTTGCTTCGACATGCTTTTTCCATCTTCCATTGATGAAAGTGACTTTTCTCTCTAACGTAAGCGATTCGCACTGCTTTGGGCGGGGCATCTTCGTCGATATCAGAAGCATCCGTTGCAGACCGCGTACTGAAGATTTGTCGCGCACAGGATCGCTGAGAACAGCAGACAGCCACCTCGCACAAGCAAGGGCTAGCTTATGTAATCACGGTGCTGACGGGGGAGTCTATTTGCACCTCAACAGCTCGGGGTCACGTGACCCTAGGTAAACGTCACATATAACGTCATTGGTAAAGCGATTGGCTTCAAATGCCACTGCAACTGGCTACGTCTTGTCAAGCGGGTTTGAGGTCACGTTAAAAAAAAAAAAGATGCATTTTTTTATGGTATGGTTTGGCTTGCACTATTTCAAGTTATCTTAGATTTTCATGGCCGTCATCCACGCTGCATAGTTCGTTAACTTGGCAGCTCCATTGCGCTGCGGTACCCCATTTTCTTCTCCGTCGCATCTAGACCGAAGAGTAATAATATATTTGTCTGAGTTTAAAATCCCAAAAGCAGATCAGTTTATTAGGGACGCGGTAGTGGAGGGCTGCTACATCGAGTTCTTTACTGTGCGCCTGAGTCTTAGCACATGGGTCTCAATCATATTTGCCTCCATCGAAAATGCTACCGCCACGGTTTCCGCCACGGCGCGACCTTCGGATCACCTAAGTAAGGGACCAGAGTGAGTCATGTGTTGCCGTGTGTAACGTAGTACAGTACAGGTCACTCGTCAGCACATTTGTATAAAACACCGAAAAGGCGCGTTTCGGATGGCACTGTCGACGTTTTCTGATTGCCACTATTTTGAGACAACCAGAATTCTTGCATATGCAAAGCTGCCAAGGCTGTCAACAACTAGATATCAGTATGGTGCCAGAGAGTGCTGGAGCGTGCCTTACGTCATTATGGACTAGTTTCTTGACCTCTCTAGTTGTCGATGTGGGTATTTAAAAAATTAGAAGCGTCTACTGTGTAACGCCGCAAAGCAACTGAATGGCCATCGGGAAGACTCCGCACTGTACACCTGTAGGCTTCAGTAGATTCCTTTGATGTAAAGTGTATGACGCTAACAGCCCTATTAGCAAATGCCGGCAAACATGTTTCTAAGTATGTTTGCCGCCACACAACAGGGTGCCTACATGACCAGTTGTTCATGTAGGCACCCAACACAACGACATATGACATGTCCATGAGCGCCACAGAGGAGGGACTTCGGTTAGGTGGGCTTCCTTTGCCGAGTTCTTGAATCCGACAGGGCACGCAGCGTGGAAGCCTAATTTTGTCGGTGGTGGTTCGAGGAAGAATGAGATGCCTAATTTCTGCAGCCCGTTAGGAAGCACGGCGCAGCGACTGAAGCGCACAACAAAACACGCCTTCCCCGCATGCTTTGGTCTCTCTCATGTAAATGTTGTATAATCTCCCAACCCCATTTCTTTCTTTCTTCTTCTTTTTTTCCTCGTTCCAATGATGTCATATGTGACGTTTCACTTTGGGTCACGTGGCCCCGAGCTGTTGAGGGGCAAATAGACTCTCCCGGTGCTGATGGCGTGCCGCGCGCTGCACACCACACCATAATCACTCCTATAGTTGCTTGACAAGAAGAATAGCAAATGGCTGCGAAGTGGGAATTTCAAATTCACCCTTCACGATCGTGTTCGGCACGTGTAGTAAGAGCTAAACGATTGCACAACGCCCTCATTTGCTGTTGGGAGTGGACTTTGCCTTCTTCCCTCCAGGTCAAGATTTCGTGATATATACGCTGTCCGCTTCGAAAAACGTTTCGAGATAAGAGGAGGCAAATACATGGTGCCTATGGGGAGTTAATGTATGGCGAAAAAAAGTTTCCGCTTAACCGAGACTTCTAGATATGCAAGTTCATGAGGGTTTACTGTAATGTAGTTTATTTACCGCTAAATAAGTGTTTTGAGTTAGCTCCTCCTTTAGTGCCCCTTTTGTTTAATTTGTGCATTTATTTTCATAATTTTTGTTCCGAACTTTTATATAACAAAATTGTCTTTATAACAAATTTTTGTGAGAATTAGTTAAATTCGTTATATCAATGTTTAACTGCATCACTTTACTGCAGGCATGCTAAGTGAAGATGACTGTGAAACACATAACGGGAAAACATTAGTTTGCAATTCATTGTCAGGTGAGTTCACTCGAATGTCTTCAGTAGTGCTACTTGTTCTTTATTATCTGCAACATTTGTAACCAGTGTATCTTACTCTCTGCTTCAGTAAAAGAGCATTATACCATATTTACTCGATATCCTAGCCGACCCCCAAAAGTTCAAAGCCCGGGGAAAAAAAGTTTACCTCGATGTAGGCCTAGTGAAAGAGCGAAGACAGCGTTCTCAAAAAGAAAACATTATTGAACACGAAGATGAAACGAAGCAGTTAGGTTCTTGATGCAAATAATTCCAGAAACATACAGCCGCTGGTCCTGTTGTGCACGTTTCTTTGTCGTTTTTTTTTTTTTTTTTTTTTCACGCTTTCTTCAAACAGTGTGCAATGCTCGGTGCCATCGAGCGCATTGGATATGCCTTAAAGGAGCGCACAATCAAAGTTCCTGAGTTGTCTCACAGCTGCGGCCCCTCCAGCGATGCTCATTTTTTTCGTCCACTCCGAAGTCCCGCCCGGCTTGAACGTTGGACGACTACTCTGCGGCTAGGACAACTTTCCTTTTATGCAAGACACTATAATGACACCACCTGTTTGACGCCACTGAGCTACGCCACACGCAGATCACTCGAAGCGCGACTCGAAATGACAAACGGTTCGCCTCAACACTTGCCACAAAGATCAAAATGGCGGCCTCGTTTGTGTACTCGTGTAGTAAGAAAGAGAAAGGAGGGAGCATTAGGTCACACGAGTGAGGCCAAGGGAAGCCCACCATGTCGGCGCAACACGTGATCAAAACATTATAGCCTGCGGCAGGTTTTAGCACTTTCGGTGCTGTTCTGTTTTTGAACTTCCTGGGTGAGCCGGCCAGTCTGGGCTGAACAAACGTGTTTAGATTAAAATCTACCGGCAGCCATCCCTGATTTCTCGTTGCTTGCGGGATCTCGCCGCGAAAAGTCACGTGTTGGGCCGACTCGCCTGGCTTCGAAACGGGTTGGCTTGTCTAGGCTGACTGTGTGACGTAATGCTCCCTCTTTTCTTTTTCTTCCTCTGTGTGTGCACAAGCCAGGTGTTCGCTTGGCTACTATCGACTATAATGCTGTCTAGGTGGCACTAGTTGTGCACCACTTTTCTCAATGAAAAATAGCGCGTTTTTCAAATTTCTCGAATCTAAACTGGCCTTGGAGTTTGATGCAAAGAAGTTTGAATAAAACTATCTGCCTAGATTTGAACAAATATGGTATGTTTGAAGCTGGGAAGTTTTGGATGGCTTTATCTCAGTATTATTTTGTAACATTTTATTTGTTTTGAGACCTGCAGAGCTACCTAAAATCTTCCCAGTTTTTTAATGCTTTGTTCCTTCTATGCTATCATATGTCATCCGTAGTGGAATGGCCCGCATGGGAATCACAATAAATTTGTATTACTATCCAGTACAAATGCACTACAAGTACCATTGGTGTGCATATTACTGGGTAAGAGGGTAACAAAGAAGCACATGTACGCAACATATTCAATTGTAAGCATGTTTTAAATATCTTTTCTGGGAATACACTGACATAAACTCGTAAAACAAACAATAGCACAGGTATACAAAAAAAGGTGCTCTAAACACAGGGTACGTGGCCGCAGGGCATTCACAAGAATGTAAGGTACCAGCAACTAGCCGGAATTTCTTATTATATCCTGGTGAAAATGAAAAGATTACTGACAGATTCAAGCAGACTTTTCGCGATCCAAGTAGGATTTATATTTTTAATTGCATTTTTTGAAGTCACTAGAAAATGATTAGAAATTCATAAACAGGGGTGTGTGCCGAAGTCGATGTTTAGACAAGTAAGCTTGTTTCGTTTTTTTAAGGCTGCAACTGATTTTCTTAAAAAAAAAAAAGTCAACTTGTCGAAACATTGGCTCCAGTACACACAGCCTGTTTACGAATTTCTCATTGCAAGCTTCCATCTTTCTCTTCGTGCCTTTCTCAAGAAATCGTTCTGTCACACTGCCTAGCGGAACAGCCTTGGGAGCGGGATTATGGAGTCCTTCATTTTGGTAACTACGGTGTAAGCAACTTGATGCTTTCATGTGTACCACACTTAGTGCTCAAAATTAGAGTATGTATATTATTAATCATCCCAAGTCAATTCAGGGATGCTTGCGGGGTAAAAACAGTGGCTCTCAGAGAAGCTGCGCAGCCCTTGTGGCAACTAGTGGAACATGCCAAGCTGCAACACATAAGCAACAAACTGTCTCGCGGAAACGCAAACCGCTGTCACTCACCTCATTCTATTTGTAGGGTTTGTTTTGCATATACAACTTCATAATTGCTGCAGACTCAACATAATGATTATGAATGCCGTATGGAGTTTTTTGAATTACGTACCATTATGTGATTAGACACCCTGCTCAATACGCTAAACATTGCGCTAAACAGGTACCTTGAAGTTTGGTTGTCGGTCACTTCAACTCACTTGTTGATAATGAGAATGAAGCGTTGCTGATTTGTACGTCACTGTGGATGGCTACTATGTACTTTACTTAGATAATTAAATTAGTTATGTTGTTGGAAAGGGCCAGCAAGTGCACTTACTTTTTGTAGAGGAGTGCACACCGGGCTGCACTGTGTTTACTCAATTGTGGCGTTCACATTGTTCACCTTTCATGCATCTGCCAGCTTCTGCATGTTTTATTGGGCACTAATAAGTTCTTTGGACAGTAATAACTAATTTACTTTGACCGAGAAGGACAAAGCTTTTGAGATACGAACGAAACATTTAATAAAATGAAAGATTCCACATTTAAAAACATTCAAGCAGACTTTTTTATAAATAAGCGTTCACTACAACATTACAGGGGTCTATAACAACAAATTTGCAAAGTGTATCATATTATCTCAAGATACATTTGGCAAGTACCATATCACATACAATTTTTGCGGTAGTATCTTGTATCTGTATTTCCAATGCTTTTTGCCCAAGTATCTTGTATCGTATCGCGTCACAATTTCGAAGTATCTTCGCCCAGCTTCTTGTCCTAATTATATTACGCATGGGCAGCACTCTGTGAATCTTTTGCTGAAAAATTTAGCAATAATGTTTTTTTTTGTTACTGTTTTGTTTTCTCCCAGATTTTCAAAGACAGGTGCTGCATCTTTTGCGCATTGTGCATAGCAAGCTTGAGCAGCAGGGACAGCAGCTGAAAGTCCTGCTGGAGAAACTAGGGCACACTGAGCAAGAAGATCCTCTTGTGCTGTTGAAACCCCTTGAAACGGAAGAGGAACTGGACATTTTTGAGGAAAACCTTTCTCACAGCAGGAAAGACCAACTGGTAATTTTGCAGCTTAGTAAATTTACTTTGTGTATTAATGTGTGTCATGTATCTCATTTGCTCAAATGTAATGCAAATATGATTGTAACGAGAAGGGTGACTTTTCAGGAAGAAAAAAAACATATAAAAGAATTATTATATACCTGATCGCCCTTTTTAGACAACTTTAATTTCGGTATTCGATTGTGTGCAAGGGTCAAGCTCAGGTAACGGGAATCTGGTAAATTACACATTCGGGAAAGCACTGTTAGTATAAAGGGGAAAAGGATATAAAGCTGGGCACAGCTTTTTTATTATAGCAGACTACAGTCAGATTCAGCTACAACAAGCACACGTAGTCATTGTGGCAGAATTTCGTTGCATAGACCACAAAAGTTTCGAAGATCTGATGACTATGACTCGTCCTTTGGTGCTGGCGAGCGCATGCATTATCTTTTGCGTTGAAATTTCACTAACTCGGATGTAATTGGTTGCACACAGAGTGAATGTATTTTCTCCACAAAATATAATGAAAATTTGGAGCTCATGCGTAGGAGGAGTCATGACCAACTGGTACAAGAAATAAGACATTGCCATCATGAAGCTCTAGCACGAGGGCATGATATTATATATCAATGGCTGCCTGGACATATCGGTATTGCCGGAAATCAATTAGCCGATGATGCAGCCCGCTCAGCCCATGAAGAAACCCGTGTAGTCCCAATTCCTCTATCAAAGAATGATGCAGCAAGACAACTTTACCTGCTGGCTCGAGATCTCACACGCACGTTCTGGTCGTCTACCAGCTTCCAAAGGTGTCAATTTTATGAACTGGATCCTTCGCTCAAGCTAAAGCTACCATCACAACTTTCCCGCTCCGATGCGACACTGTTATGCCGACAAAGGTGTACTCCTTTCGCATTGGTATGGCAGACACTCCTACATGCGACTACTGCGGAGCTGAAGAGACCATCGAACACGTCCTGTGCAGCTGCGCTTGCTACGACACAGCGATGCCAGCTCCGGATGGTTTTGAATAGACTTGACCCCGGACCATTTTGTCTGCAGAAGATACTAGGACCTTGGGCATCTGCCTCAGTTGCGCAGAAAGCAACTAAAGCACTGCTACTTTACCTTAAGTCAACAAACCTGAGCGACCGCCTGTAGACTGTGTGTGCTTCCCGAGTGTGCTCGTGATTATGTGTACCTTCTCATCTTTCTGCAACCTCTTTTCTCTCCTTTATCCCTTCCCCAGTGCAGGGTAGCAAACTGGATGTGCGTCTGGTTAACCTCCCTGCCTTTCCTTGCATCTTTATCTCTCTCTCTCTCTCTCTTGGAGCTCAACTCGAAGTAGAGATTGTACACGAATTTCAGTGCGCAAGTTGGCTTCATGGCATTGCTTCTCAATAATTCACCGAAGACGACGTTGCGTCAATACGTGAGTACAGCCGCTGATCGATTTTCCGGACTTGGCGGGCATGGAGTAATAGTTGTAAAAAGTTAACAATCAGAAAAAATAGTGAAGATATGAAAATGAAGTTTGTTTGAAAATAAAGAGCAGCCTAAAAAATTATCTAATAATGCACTGCTTCATGGTGTGCTTTGGAGCAAGAAGATTTGCTTGTATTTTTGCGCCACGATGACATCATCAGCGCGTTGGCGATCACTGCCGCCAACAGTTGCATGCGACACAGTTAGAGGGAAGCTTATCTCCATGGCACTAGTCAAACAAAACTCGATGCCAGTCGCAAAAAGGCGCATGCAATGTCTCGTCTCTTTGGTGGGATTTAACGACACGGCTTTCTTTCGCGTGCACTGACATCCTGCTGAATGCGATCCTCCAGCGTTGCGCCTCCATCGAACACTTACCGTGTTCGAACCCGTGTGTCTCGGGTCAGTAGCTGAGCACCGTAACAGTCAAGTGCTACTGTGAGCAGCTGCAACAGCACAGAACAACAACGCAGAACAGCAACAGCTCAAAAACACTCGACACACCACTGCCATCATTGAAAAAACAACTGGTAAAGAAAAAATAAAGACCTAGTGGCATCTTAATGGTGATGATGATAACGCTGACTCAAAAAAGAAATTGTGTCCCCTAGACAGTTTTGCCAGTCAAAAATCAAGCACAGCCTTGCTTCCTCTTTCTATCTTCTCGTTAGCTTTTGTTTTCTTTATTTCTGATTTTCTGTATTTTTATCTTTTAAGTTTTTATCTGTAATTTCCTTTTCTTTCCGTTCTCTCACTTTCTCTCTGTTTTTCTCTCTTTTTTTTTTTTCTCTTTTGTGTGTTTCACGTGCTCCAGTTTACTGAGTGTAGTTTTCGTTTCACGTTCGTAACCTGCTCTACTCGGTAGTGAGGCTTGCCCAATTCCTTTGGGGCGTACCATTTGATGAGTTTAGCACAACAGAGTACAAGTTACCTATAGCTTAAACAGCTTCCCTGTTAAGAAACGAGGAGCCACTCTACTTTGTAAGCTGAACAACCCTGTGAAGCTACACACTAGTAGCATACTGGGATGCTAGTACACAGATTATTTTCAGCTTCTTTAAAACTTATGAGCTGGTCAAACAGCAAAAGTCCGTCATTCTCATTCTCTCAGTGCCATTCCGGAGCAGGATTGGAGCAATTACTAACAAGAATTACTGTTTGGAGTACTACTTTTATCACTGCAAAGTTCATTTTCCTTTTACAGTAAATTTGTATATGGCTAGGAAATTCCCTAGTTCTCTCTAGGGAGCAGTGCAAAAATAACGTGTACTGAACATTAATACAACCCGGCTGTTAACATCCTGGCCTTACATACCATACCGGCCGGTCCTACCATCTATGCGATGTGCTAAACACACAGAGTTCGAAGCATCATGGAAGCATCTAATAAATATTAATATTTAATGTGTAATAAATTTCACAGACAGCAGTAAATGTATATTTCAAAAAGCAAACAATTAAAAATATGACTTGTTATCGAAAATGGGCCGTGAAATGAGCTATATATTTAAAATACTAGTAATTGTGGCAGAAACAAAATCAAACCAGCAAAACTGAGCACCGGCCCGTGTGCTCAGATTTGGGCGCACGTTAAAGAACCCCAGGTGGTCGAAATTTCCGGAGCCCTCCACTACGGCGTCTCTCATAATCATATAGTGGTTTTGGGACGTTAAACCCCACAAATCAATCAATCAATCAATCAATCAAAACTGAGCACCGCAGTCCCACATAACTATTGCCAAACAAGCAGTTGATAATCAGTGCGAGAGAAAAGCATTCTTGCTCAATTTCACATTTCAACACGTTAGCCTTGAGTGTCTAGCTAAAAAAAAAAAGAAAAAAGCCAAATTAGCTATATGATAAGTATGCCAGTTCTTGTCGCATAATTGAGATCACAGCCAATAATGCTGCAGCATTATTGGCTCTGATTTCTGATTACACCAATAGTTGCGCCAAACTAACATATTTTCTGCTCTGCAAACACTTATGTCTGCTCCAAAACAGTACTTTTCCCGCTCCAAAGTATAAATAAGTAAAAAGTCACTTCCATCGCTCACTTTGTTAAATCATGCAGCCTCAATGGGTGCACTTTCAAACACTATCGCAGATGCTCGGCTTAAAGCAGATCTTTTTCGAGCTGGCAGCTGACACGTGTGTGTGTGTGTGTGTGTGTGTGTGTGTGTGTGTGTGTGTGTGTGTGTGTGTGTGTGTGCATGTGTGTGTGTGTGTGTGTGCGTGCGTGCGTGTATACATGTACACAAAAGTGGTGCTTTTTATCAATGGACTGTGAACGACTTTAGTGGAAATGAGCAATTAGTTGGTGGTGGAATGTGTCAGGGTTGGACAATGAAGTTATGTTGTCTGGCAGCTTATTCCATAATGTAATGGCGTGTGGGAGTGTTGATGAGTTGAATGTTAATAGCAGAGCCGTCATAGTCTAGGTCTGCCATGAATCTTAGATAGAAAGTGATCGCCATTATGAACTGGCACACACTCAATCGTCGCCCAAGCTCTCTGCAAAGATATTTAACAAGAGAAGCTGAGGCGTGCAGCCTCTAATCAGTGTTAGCCACCCTTATGTTTTCTTATCAATATTTAGTGGGCCAGTGCAGCAAGTTGCGATATTAGCCCAATTTCTGCTCCAAAACTAAATTTGGATGCTCCAGACCGGCTCCAAAACCGCATTATTCCTGCTCCCAAAGCTGCTCTAAAAAACTGAAGCCCGCTTCCACCCCTGTAGAGAGCAAGCGTAGCGTTGTGCAGTGTGGTATATCAAAGGCTGGGAAAGAGACAGGTAAGAGTTTAAAGCCTAAGCAAATCAGGACGAGCCAGGTGCCCACTAACTTTGCTGGCTTTGCACGACTTGCTGCAAGCTGAACAAAATTTTTTGTGGCTCTGATCATGTTGAAACAGACTGTAATAAATCTTTGAGCTTTCAGTGATGTTTTGTCTTGTAGGATTTCTTTTATGTATAATGGTTAAAATATTCACAAAATTGACTGCATGTCTTTACAGTAACTTGGTGGACCTACCATTCTGGAAAGCACCAAGTGGATCAGTTCTAGACCAAATCATGGACTCTATTTTCGTCAACGAAATTTTAATTACACACAATGCTTTAATATGCCTAATACAGACAGCTAATGTGGTACATTATGCCAGCAACTAAAATTTGTATTGACTATACGTATTGACCTTGATTCCGCTGTTTACACAATTTGGATACTGCCAGAGAACGCACCCGCAAAGAACAAGAATTTCACAAGAATTATCTCTAGCGTGTAATAAAGAACACGGCATAAAGAATGCATATCCTCACAAATAAACCAGCAGGGACACTTCTCTATACCTCCCTGGCTTTCTTTGCCGTCATGTTTTCATGTTTTTGGTTAGTGCCTACTAACCAGTTCAAAATATGTGTTTTTTCAACTTGCATGTGAAATGTCGTGCTTGCATGATTCATTGTGTCCTTGCTGTTCTTGAATTGCATTCAAAACGAATGTCATAATTTTTGTATGAAAGTACACAATGACATTTCTGTTACTGCATTTTTTTCCTTTGTAGATCTTGCAGCTTGGCCAATATGGTGGCCACAACTTGCCATCAATAGTCCGCAGGATATTAAAGCAATTGATTCACGACAGTCTCGCTGCAAAGTTCAGCTGGTTTGGGAAGAAGGGGAAAGCACCATTTTGTCAGCTGAAGCTGGCTGGCATCATTACGAGTAAGCAATGTCCAGTGGCTGTGCTCATACGTTTATTTCTCTTTATTACCATAATCTTCTCTTTCCTGCCAATATGTAAAGACATATTCTGAGTGCTACATAGCACCTTTAGCCAAATCTACTATACTCGCAGACAACTTTCCGTGGCTATGATAGGAACGTATGGCCCATGGGGTTGGAGCTGTTGCTCTTGTATCTGTGTGCGAGTAGTTCGCATTCGCTCAACATCGTTTCAGTTCACTTGGAGGAACTGCCGTCCTGTGCGTAGGTCTTTGGGTCATTCCACAGCAACTGTCCCAATTGTGGCACTCAACCTACATCGTCTTTTTTCTAAGAAACTAAAAGATTACACACATTCGAACAATCGTTTACAGTATTTTTCCAAAATAACTTAAGCAGCAAAAAAATTTTTCTCGTGTGTGAGGGCCGTTCGATTTTTACAAAATGGTGTAAAAATAGGTAAAAAATACCTAAAAATGTACTGTTTTCTTCTACAATTATTTTTTGCTTTGTCTGAGCATTGTGCTTTTATTACAAAACAGTTTCACACAATAGTCCTACGTTTGTAACTAAGGTGGTAGGCCACTCAAAAACAAAAATTTTTTTAAGGGCAGGCAGCGTTGAAATAACTTTTTTCTCAAAACCAGCATGTCTTATTTAATTTACCCAACTATTTAGAGTGCAAAATATTGAATATTTATTTATTGGGAGGTAATCTTTGTCAAAACTTGCATTAAAAGTGCTAGCCACGCCAGCTGTGATAAGTGCCTAATGGGTGGCTTTATTCAGTAAAGCTTTGACATTTGTGTAACTAATGGCTGGAGCTATGCAGTGAACTAGAATAAATATTATGTAGTGAATATCAAGGAAGTAATGCTTAAAAAAACAAAACAAAAAAAACGGGGAAGAAGAGCCAATTGAGACTGAACCTGTTGGAGAATTAAGCTGTGAACTGAAAAACGTTTGATGGATTTCTTTTATTCTAGTTCACTGCACAGATACATATGTTGTAGATCATTGAACAAAATTTCAGTTCAAAGTATACGCAAGGAAATACGTTATTAAAGTTTGCGTCGCAACATTTGGCGCAAATTGTTATTTTCAGAAAAACGTAAACAAAGATTTCCGAGCTTGTAAAAAGGGTCACAATCTTTTCACGCAGGCCTAAAATGCACCCGATTCATAGTTGGGCCCTTCTGCCGAAGCATTATTGTCTCCTTTTGTTCGGGTGGCTGCTTGTCTTTTCTTCCTGGCCTGTTTTGTCCCATCCACTGACTTGCGTTTAGCATTCTGCATGCGCAGGTGATCCCTGGCGATGCAAGCTTTCGTCGTGTGGTACCCTGGTTCTATGCCAGCTTGCCTCAGGATATCTAGGGTGCTTACACTGTCATTATTAAAGTTTGCCACAGCATCATGCAAGGCAAACATTACTGCAGGCAAGCTTACGTAGACCTCTTTGGGTGCCCGCTGCGATATTAGACCATTGAAACACTCATGAGAATTTTGAGTCTTTCCATGAAGGCACTTTATTAGAAGTTCATCAGAGCACAGATCACTGTAGACAGTTTTAACTTTGTTGAGCACATCATTTGGAAGTTCTCCTTTGTGTACATATTTCCCTTGGCCGAGTGCTTCGAACCTTTGGTATCCGCACCAGCTTTTCGGTCTAAGTGGACACAGGCCATGTTTCGGCTGCTTGTCGGTAGAGCTTCAATGAAAAAGGCTGGCAAGGGTAGCTTTTTTCATTGCAGAAAGGTTCCCCACATTAGCCCTTATAGCAATGCCATAGTAGTTTTGCAGGCGGTCGATGAGGACATCAGTGAGCTTTGCCTTACCACCGAGTCCACGCACTGTATTCTTCAGTTTTCTGAGGCGGCAGCCAACACGCTTCTGGACATGCCCAATACATTCCAGCTTTTGCACACTGTCCTTTCCATACATGTCTTTGACAGCGGCATAGCTCTTGGAATCACCATTGCCGTAGTACTGCAGGTACTTCAAATCTCTTTTGCCTTTCGACCTTTCAAATATTCGGTATAGATCAACCGTCTCCATACTGCCAGCACTTCCTTCATGGTTTGCTTGACAGGAAGTGTGGTTTGCCTTCCATTCCTGGTACGAAGCACTATCTTGCCTCAACTTGCTTTTGGTTTTACAAAACTTACACGAACTAAAAAGGGCCTCAACATCAATAACCTTTCCCGTGTCAACAGAAATCACAGATACACAACCGTTTAAAGATGAATGGCCACGCTTCTGCTACGTGCCATCACCTGAAACGCCACACTCGGCACTCCCCGCAACACGATGAACTTCCACAGCAGCATCAGTCATCGACTTCGACGCCACTTCTCCTGCCGCTGCAGAAAGCCAAGATGACAATTTGTCGTAGGCAGAGTGACGTGGAGGAGCAGGCATGTTCATCACTTTGGAAAGAGTTTTCGCACCAGCCTGCCCTATCCCTAACTGGCGCATCGCGTAAACCAAACGTAAATCGTTCTCATTGGGACGACCCACCTTTCTCGACGTATGAAATGGGCACTTGAACCCACAGTCGGTACACCCGATCGCACAAGCCGAGCATATCCCTTGGTGAGAGCGTTCCTCGAGCTTCATTGTTGTGTTCATGCATTCGAAACATGCCAGTGATGAAAACACGGAAGAAAGAATACCAATGTGCATTATCCTGTTCCCTTGGAGCGCAGAATTCTCTAGTGGAGCCTGGTACACCTTGTTTATGTCCCCAAGCTTCTTCGCGGTCACCGAAATACCGGCGTCTGTGTCAGTAAGCAGCCTCGTCGTGGTGTAGCGATTTCCAGCAAACTTGCGCTTCCTCGTCTTCTGTGTTTTGCACTTGCCCATGCTGGTCCTAATATGGTCCAGGTGGCCTAAGGATACAGCCCTAGTAGTGTTGACACGTGGAAAAAATGCAGAACGAAGGCTGACGTAACCTGACCAAGGCAAACAACGAAAATTCCAATTAGCATTGTGCGTCCCCCTTGTGGCTGTTGTTAGAGATTAACGAAGACTTTTAAACACAAAGTTGTATTTAATGACATCATCTTATATAACAGTCTTAATAAAATGCATGTAGCATTATTATAGACGAAACAACACTTGCCTTTGAAAGCGATTTTTCGAAACCGAAACCACAGTTGAAAATGTGGTTTCGGTTTTGCTATAGGAGCATAGGGTATAGAAAACTTGCTGTAACTCGCAAACTAATGATGCTAGGAGGATAATTTTTGTTGCAACATATATGTTTTTGTTGCAACATAGATGTGTGTTGCAACATATATATGCTGGTGCTTTCCAGGGTGGAGTCATGCTGCAGTGTTCATACTAAGAGTGAATAACCTGTTAAAGGACAGAAAATTTCTCATTGTTGCTTTTGACATCAACGTAGATAATTCACAACATTTGTATTTCTTGCTTGGACAACTTATTGGTGAGATCTATTCAAGTTCTCCTTGGTTGGAAGAAAGGACAAATTTGAGGAGCCATTGAAACAAAACTAAAGGTGACACAGACGCTACTGGTTCATACTTGAGTATTAAAAGCACTAGCGCGACAGGGACAAGAAGTGGCACTACACGTGTACTTACTCGCAACTGAAAGCTTTGTTGCATCAAGAAAAATGTCAGGCATGCATGGAAGACTCGGCACAGGCACACAAAAGCTTGAAGAGCAGCCTTTCTAGAGCCAGTGGTAAACTCATTCATGGAGCAACTATTACAAGTACACTACAAGGTACCCACTACATTATGGTTCATCATAATTTTTGTGACATGGAGAAGCACCCCCCGCTACAACGAAGTTTTCACCACAACGAATAATTTTCAATTCCTCATCAGCTGCCTCTAGAAAGCAATGTGTAAAATGTCCCGCTACAACGAATACTTTTCCTAGATACTTTCACTTCAACATAGTTTTCATGAGTACTACCAAGTAAGGAAAAGGTAGTTGCCTAGGCTTGCCACGAAATTCTGCTACGAACATGGCCGTTTCTTGTTGGCTCGTGCCTTCCCGAGTGGTGCAGTCGCATCGCAAGACCAGTGTCTTCATCGGAGACACGTTTTCTGCCTCCACACGCACATCCCAATATTTTGTCAGATGCTCGGTGACTGATCGCCCATCCACCATGATGCTGCCAGTGGGTTTGGTTCACGTGCGTGCCGCAGTTGAATCATTCAAGAACTCCTGCCATGTTTTCAACACAGCACTCAAAACAAGACTACCACTCTTCCTCACTAGCCCTGCGATCTTGAATGACAACCACGGTGTCATAAAGGCGCACAAGCGGCCAGTGCACACCGAGACGAAGCGTAACTACATTCTGCCACAACCGCTGCGAACACAAATGCGGTAGTGTCGACATAATAATGGGTGACTACAAAAGTACACGCCCATCGACCGCGCATCGACTCGAACTAATGCTGCGGACAAAATGACAAAACTGTGTCAATGCGATCATAGATAGCAATGGCGCAGTTGTGAAGGCACGCGCACGAGCAGTACTTCCAAAAATGGAAGCACTGTTTGCCGCGATAGCGATCAGCAGGGCGTTTATGAATGCCTGTGCAAACCACAGTAGAGGTCTTTTTGCTTTCCGCAGCTTAACTGTCGAGCTTCCACCTGAGCAACACCTTAGCCGAATTCAAAGATATCTTCGTACAAAGGTCGTGAGTGTGCTTAAGGTCGACAGTTGCCCCTGTACTGAGCATTATTTTTTTTTAGCAAGGTCAACGTGGACCTTGCTTTGTCTTGGTACGAATATGGCCATGTCTTATAAATCAATTTGCAAGACATAGCCATAAGAATGCTTTTGTATGTAGATTATTTTTTAGTGCTGGTGAGCAACATACAAATCGAATTGTTTGCTGATGTTGTATTCCAGGCTTTTACCGCAAAATATGGTGGTTTGATTTTCACCTATAAAATGCTTGTTGAAAACACCTTAAGATTTCTCAACCTATCGCTGTATTTCTCCTTCCAGCGTG